CATTTACTTTGTAGCTTTAAATCGTCTACTAACTATTATTTATGTGTGGTAAAAAGTAATTGAAGAATAAACTCGCATTAATATCACGTTTGCGGGAACGTGTGAAAATGATCATTTAGAACAAAGTGACGTCACACCCCAGTGTGAACAGATTACGGTTGTATTGTATACTATTTTGTATTAAGAAGGTTGCTTTTTGCATAGAGGTATCAAGTTCATTTTCTATGGTGTAGAGTGCAAACGCAGATGGGTCTACCCGATGATAAGTGACAATCGCCGCCCATGTACACTAGCAACTTAAAACAAACCAAACAAACCACCCTTCAAGTACTTCCCTCCAGAGTTGGGAAAGGGGGGGGGGGGGGGGAATAAATTGCAAAGAGAAGTAACATTTTAAACAAACCCTTTACCAACCCGCCGGTCCAGCGTGGTATAGTAGGTCAAAACCTCCTTTCTAAGTAGAGGCCTATGTCTAGCAGTGGACTATTGGATCCTATTGGTGAGTCAGCGGTCTCGTAAAGCTATAATATATTACAGTCAACGCAACGAACAAATAATTTTTTTTTAAATATTGGTTAAGATAGTGACGTGATAAATTGCGATATTGTATCCTTTATAGTGACGTACACAGACCTTTGATCCGTGAAGTTTTACTTTGAAATTGAGTAATAACTTCGGATGATGTACATATGTATGTATGTTTGTATGTCTACGTAATTTAATACAATTGTACTTGACCAACTGACTCACTAGTCGACTAGCTAACACTGAAGGCTTCGTATAACAATTTGTTCCAGTTTGCAAACGTTTGTTTGTGAGAAAAGAGAACCGCGCTGCCACTTTTTGCAATAGTTAGTAATCAAACAATGTTTGCGCTAACAAATTGTGTCAGGTGGGGTTTTGTAACAGACACATTGGGCCAATGCGGACTGACTTAAAACTTTTTTATAGTACAGGGTGCAAACAAGCATACGAGTCACCTGCAACTCAAAAGCTTCAAGTCTCCCTCCCTCAGGATTAGAAGGATTTTGGGCTGCAGTGCATACTTTCTCGGTGAAATGCAACGGAAGGAGCAACGGACTTTCCCCCCTCCCGCTGACTCGAGCGGGAGGGACTCCAAGGGCAGCAACGCACTTTTGACTTTTGAGTTGTAGGTGTCCATGGGCGGCAGTAGTTGCTTACCATCAGGTGACAAGTCTGCTCGTTGCCCCCTTATACCATAAAAAAGAGAGCTTACTGAAATGCCTTTGTCGAGCAGAAATCTGTTGTGATCAAGCTCAAATAATGTAAGTAAATGTTCTTTATGTTAATTATAATAAGAGCATTAACTTACTAAATACCTACATCAAGTAACGCGTGATGTTATAATCTGGTCGGAAAAAAAATATAAAAAATGTATTACATATTTATTTTTATTACATTATTGTATTTATTACGTATATTATATTAGTTATATTAGTATGTACTACATTATTACAAAAAGTAATCATTTCTAAATATAATTATGTTATAATGAGAATATTATTAATAATTATGATATTTCATTCCATAGTTTATGTTCGGGAATTAGTTTCCGATATTTCGACACCGTTGCAAGGGACATGATCATGGACAGACGATAAACGTTGAATTCCCGAAAATAAACATGGTCATCTAAAAATACCTAGTTTACTTATCAAGTGGAATATTTATTTTAAAAACTAGTTTTACTATATCGGTTAGAGATCTCAGACCTTCAAGTAATAGCCAAATTGATGAATGCGATCTTTACCAGTTCGAACACGTGTCCATCCATATAGGCATAATTCTAGCAATTTTTTTTCGATTCCCACCCAGGACAAATATTGTGTGATGAGCACGGTCATTTGTTCCGTGTCTGGGTGTAATTTATCTATAATATGTATGTATTTAGAAATATATAAGTATGTTTATCAGCGGTCTGATTACCATAGTACAGGCTCTGCCTAGTTTGGGATCAGACGGCCGTGTGTGAGTGTGTGAGATATATTATATTATATTATTATTATTATTATTTCCTACCCCTGTTTTCTCCCTTTCCATTCTAATCCCTACAGTGCCCGGTTCGTGCCCGGTTCGTGCCTTAACCTTATCCCCTATTACCTAAATGAGACTAAAATGATAGTAGTTGAAATTCCTTTAATGATTAGAAAAGATCTGATGATTTGAATTATGAGCTTGAGAAGAGCTCGAAAACGGCAGAACAGATTTTAATGAACAATAATTAAAACGCTGTTGATTGAATCATCTATCAAACGTAAAACACGAATCAACATCAGTCCATCCGTTTAGTAGCTATAATGCCACAGACATAACTCATAACACTCCTAACTGCGATAGGAAAGAAATATTATTTGACGACCGGATGGCATAGTGGTTTGTGTAACGGACTGCTATTCCAAAGGTCGCGGGTTCGATTCCCGCTCAAGTCAAACATTTGTGTGCTTAAACATTTAATGTTTGATTTGGTCTGGGTGTTTCTATGTATAATATGTATGTATTTACAAAAAAAAAAGTATATATGTATTTATATCAGTTGTCTAGTAGCCATAGTACAAGCTCTGCTTAGTTTGGGACTAGATGGCGTTGTATGAATGTGGCAGAATATTATTATTATTATTATAAATTTGAGAGTGAGTTTGATTGTTACGCTTTCAAGCTTAAACCACTAAACTGATTTAAAAATTTCTTACACCAATGGAAATCTACCTTATCAACGAGTAACATAGGCTGCTTTTAACCGCGATAACTGACAGGCGGAGCCGCGGGTAAAAGTTAGTCCATAATAAATAAATCCCCCCTAAGCCATGACCTGTAAATTCCTAGAGGGATGTCCTTTTTAATGGAATAGGGGGCAGGCGAGCAGATGGGACGCCTGACACTTTAGATCTCTTGAAGTTATAAATTTTACTCACATGTGTAAACTATGCGATAGTAATATTCACAATAACAATAAATCTCATCAATAGCTACAAAAGAAACAAAAAAAGGAAATTCACAGACAGAGGTGTCAAACTATAAGAAAAAAAAATCCGGTCAATTGCGAGTAGGAGTCGCCCACCGAGAGTTCCGTAAACATTTGTAGGTAGATATTGAAAACAGTTCAGGAATCGAGTTTTGCAGTTTTTGTCGAGCTTTTCCTGAAATTCGCTTTTCCTGGAATTACTTGCAGAAATAAATATCGTTTATCATCATTTATCAAAACCTGAAAAAATTGAACCTCGATGATTAATTACGTACCACAGATATATTATTCTTTATGATTTAATTACAAATGTATAGTTTTTAGATTTTTCCTGTACTTGTAGTCTAAGATGATGTTACTTGCCTTTTTAGGTTAACGGAAAGTACCCTATAAATTCGAAAACTATGCGTTTTTTGTGGCTAAGCGGCCATATCTATTTTTATTTACTTGGAATTTTGATTTTTTTATCCCAGCTTCAAGGCAAGTGTACTCGTATATTGTTTTCAGTCCAACTCGATACCACCACCCGAGGTAAAGGGTATTGACAGACAGACGGACAACAAAGTGATCCTATAAGGGTTTCGTTTTATCCTTGTATTTTATGGAACCCTAAAAAAACAGTCCTCGTAAAGTTATGCAAACACAGAGTAGGTAATAAATAGGGTATTTTGTCCAGAAAACAAGTAAAACGAAGTAGTTTGAACGGAAGCAAAGCCATCGTAAAAGATAGTTTTGTCATAAAATACTGTTTGACTATTTATAAAACGTACGGAAATTTGAATCTTTACAAAAACAACTTTGCGAAAAACAATCTGTATGAGTAATAACAGAGCGAAAACATAAATTTAATACATGTTTGAATTGTTTGTTTCCAAAGCTTGAAGAAATAATAATACCTACATACTAGGTACTATTTAATCAAGTAGGTAGAAAATGATAAAAACCTGTAAAACCAACGTTTTGAGACAATGTAAAGAAGTAAGTAGACTGGGAGATTATTTCTGCGGCATTAAGTCTGCTATTGCACAATTTAATTTGTGCATCATCATCATCATCATCATCAACAGCCTTTAATAGTTCACTGATGGACATAGGTATATCCTTAGAAAGGAGGTTTTGGCCTACTATACCACGCTGGCCAGACGGGTTGGTATAGGGTTTGTGTCAAGTTTTCCTTCTTTTTTCAGTGCTGGTGTCCTGCGTTGTTTTGTGCCTTTAGTCGGCTCTTACGACAGCACGGGATGAATTGGGGTAGTGACATTCCCTATTCTTAATCCGTCACTACACGGAAATCAATTAAAAAATAAATTAACATAAATAAATAAATTAAAAAATTGCGCTTAAAGTATCAAATAAAGAAATAAGTGATTAGCTCCCGGAAACGGCTTTTTGTTAAAAAATATGTAAAAAACTTTATAGCTAGACATTATTTTTCGTATTTATAAAACTGTTTTTCTGAGTCAGCATAAAAACTCATAAAAGAGGTAAATTTTTCTGTCAGAGAAGTTATTTGAAATGTTCAATGTTGGTCGTACATCAAACGTTTTGGTCATCTAATAAGACGAATTCACTTCTTTCAGTGCCTATCTATTGTAAAAATAACAAAAATCTCAATTGGAATAGCTATTAAGTCTAGCGCCTTTTGACCTCCATAATTATTTAAAAAAAATAGATAACGCTAAGCTCCCATACAGGAATGAGGCGGGTTACTGCGTCTAGTAATAGAAGAGGTATACCTTAAGACAGACATATATTAATTGTACCACAAAAGACACACTTATTTCGAAGGTAAGAGTTAATATTAATAAAATTATGGAGAAAACCAAGGATTATCATAGGTGAGAAAACTTAAGGTTCTTACGTCCCTTTACTAGCAGCGATTTCGCTTATTTATATGGAGAAAGCCGTCGCACATTTTATTATGTTGACCCTACATAAACGTCAGTCAATACTTCGATGAATATTCATAGTACCTGCATATTTCATAACGGAATGTGAGAACTTTCAAAGCCAGTGGTCACAAGGGACTCGTTTCACAACAAGCGAGAAAGAGGTCAGATCTCTATAAACAAACAGACTTATTCCAGTTATATCTGGACCACAACCTAGTCATATATATAAAGGTTAACATTAAATGACTCACCTCAGGTGGAGCCGCGAACTTTAAGTTCGCGAGCGAGCCATGCGACCGACTGCGGTGTTCTTGCCTAATGCTGTACGAGAAAGCACGCTCGTTGAGATGCCCTTTCTTCCTATAGATTCCACCTGGGTCGTCAGTCGCCTCCAGCCCTGTCATGCTCTGCGCAGCTTTCAGAGCGGCGGGCGGAGGCTTAGAACGACGCGGATCCACCGTCGCGTACTGCAAACGTCCGCGACCAGGTCCTGGAGGCCCCGGGGGCCCTGGAGGACCTGGTGGGAATGGACCTGCGGTCAAAGCTGCAGGGACGCGCCCACGGTGCCCTAGTGTGGCGGGACGTGCGTGCGGCAACGTAGCAGAAGGATGCGCAACCAATACTAGCGGGTGTCCGCCAGCCCAGGCCGGCGGTACTCGGCCCAGTGATCGACCATTCATTACTCCAGCGGGACCACCATATAACTCATCAGCGGACGCTGATGATTTCTTCTTTGTCTTTTTAGTTGTAGCCTTCTTCTTCGGCTCCTCAGGGGGAGGTGGTGGCGGTGGCACTGATGCAGGTCGCGTAATCTGTCTGGGTCGCGGTGCTCGCGCTGTGTGCGGGATTTCATCACTTGCATCATCACGCTCAGTTTCGCCGACCCACACTTTATGGTTCTCGTCACCGTCGTACACTTCCAGCTCCTCGTCCTGATCAGGCAGCTGTGACGGAGTGCGCTCGGCCTCCAAACGCTTGGCATACGAACTATCTGCGTACGCGTGGAAGCAACAGCGCACTAGAGCATTTGCAGCAGCCTCACGCCGGCAGATAAAAGCGTGACACTCCAACACTTTGATCCCGTGCGTTCGACGCAGTACAGCCGCAAAAAGCGGCGGACGCCGCGGTGCGGGGGCGCGTGCGAACGGTGAGTCCAGCGGCAGGAACCGCGGTGCACCCTCCACCGTCACCCGGCGCACCGCCGCACAATAGTGGAGACTCGAAATGGGAAAGAAGCGCGCTACCCTAGATCCACTCTCGTCAATATTTTCCAACAGGATACCGTTCGACCACACCGAGAGCCACGAGTCAATGCCGCCGCTCGTCGCGCCCTTGTCCGGGTAGAGCTCGCGTAGCGGCTCCTGGATACCCTGCAGACCGTCCTTGCTCTGTTGCGGGACTGCCGAGCCGAGGTAAAGCACGCGGCACCGACATATCGGCGTCGACTCCATTTCGTCACTGCACTATCACAACATGACACTGAACACAGAACACAAATATGTCGCGGTGTGACGCGGAGTACGTGCGCTGTCCGCGAGTCGCGCGGCTCTGAGTGAGCGGAATTCAAGATGGCCGGTTGGAGGCTCGAGGGGCGCGGGGTCGGGGCACAGTCGCGGGGCGCGGGGGCCGATACCTGCGCACACGCACCTGCGAAGACGCCTCCGCGACGTCGCGCTGGGGCCAGCGGGCGGCGGCGCAGTGATACCGGCAACAACACCGTGCCGATGAACCCCCATTGTGTCAAACGTATGGTCGCGAATTCGGCCGCGTTTCTCTCGCCGCGTCATCACCAACGTGATGGAATGTATTACTTTTGCCCTGTTGCAGTGAAATCTGAAGGTCAATTGAGATATTTCAGCAACGGATGCGTTCTACATGAACGTCCGTTCGTGCCTGAATAACAATTTGCTGTTTTCCAATATGCTTTAATTACATTCAAGCAACAGAATTATATGTACCTACCTACTGACGAAATTATGTTGTTTTTTTATAATACTGCTCGAACATAAAGACATTGTCTCTTTTGAATGCACGTTAGTAATGTCTAATAAGAATTTTATCGTTTTAAAAAAAGAAACAAGTTTAATATTTGGAATACATTCCGATTTCAAATTGCAAATAAAAAATTACTGTGTTAGCAATAGCCGTAGACAAACGCAACCGGGCCTCAGTTTTTTTATTGCCTACCTTGCGATGGCAATAATCACAATTTATTGAATGATCCGTGTACAAATGTTTCTTTTTATTCGATAAAGATATTATTCCAGATTAGATCCAACCCTGCGAACAATTTGTTTTATGATCTGACTGACTGATTTTATAACCTGATGGTGTTATTAATATTGTATTATGATAAACTTTTTAAAACGGCAATGCGTCATAGAAGCAAAGGTCATCAAAATTCGGTTTAAAAAAGTAGAGACGAGTTGTGAGATGTTACCCACATTTATTAAAAGCGAAAAAACAAAAGAGTTTATCACTTATTTCTGGAGAAATGGGTACTTAAATTAATACCTGGATGTTTTAATTAATTTTAATTAATTTACGATTAAAAATTTATAATTTACAGTAGAATTTTGACATCATGGCAACCAGTAGTTTTGTAGAAATTCATGCTTAAAAGGATTGAACTAGCCTATTGGTGTAGTGGTTAGTGATCTTGACTTGGAATCGTCGTGGGTTCGATTCCAACTTAGGATAAAAAAATGTGTAATGAGCACGAGCATTTGTTATGAGTCTGAATGAAAGTTATATATAATTTATATGTGTTTATTTGTCATACATATATGTATGTTTATCGGCAGTCTGGTTACCATGGTACAGGCTCTGCCTAGTTTGGGATCAGACGGCCGTATGTGAGATGTTGTGCGAGGTTATTAAAAGGTACAAAAATGTTACTGAATTTTTAATTTACACGATTTTAGAACCATCTATGTGTATTTGGTGTTGACAACTTTTCAAAAATAGCTTTCAATGATTTATGTGTTTAAAATAATATCCATGAAATTATATTCAATTCATTATTTCACCCTTAAATCAAACAAAAGTATATTTTTCAATAAAAAAAAATAGGCCACTAAACGAGGCATTATGATCACGTCACTGTGTATGACGTCACCATTCGATTGAGAACTTTTATTTTGTATGAAAATTTACCCTTAGTGTAATATTAGCACTGTACTTTTTAACATCTCTGTATTCAGAAGAACATAATCAAGAAAGAACTTAACGTTTGCCAAGAATTAAAATCAAATTATTATTATTACTTTAAATACCCCAACTACTTTAAATTATTAATTTAAATACCAAATTATTATTATTACTTTCGCCCCAACTAAAGATAAGATAAACAAGACAGCTGATTGGTTAATAAGCTGTCAAAATTGTACGATTACAACACATTTTCTGATGTTTGCAATCACGTGACTCTCGGATAAAAAAATACTATGAGAAAATAAAATAAATTAGTAATTATCTTTTCTTAATTTACATTACTTTCTATCAATAGACCTATTTCATTATATATAGCCATTTCCAATTTTTAAACATACTGCCAACTCGCGGATTTAAGTTTTATCTTTTATCTAAGTTTTATTTAAGTTTCATCTGTGTTTTTGTAACAATTTCCTTTCGCTTATCGTTAAAAACTTACTGTTATTTCTTAGAAATATACATCACACATCACATCAACAGCCTTTAGTAGTCCACTGCTGGACATAGGCCTCTCCTTAAAAAGGTTTTGGCAGACTATACCTACCTACTTAGAAATACGCTTGCTTTAAATATGTACAGACATACCAGTTATGTTTGCAGTTCAGCCTTAAGCATGAGGGCACGCGGGGCATCTCCTCGGGGCCTCAGATCTCAGGAGGTCCCATAATTTTGACGTTGTTATATTCAGATTATATTTTTTCCAGAAGCGCAAATTCTATACTCGAAAAAACAATACAGAGTACATAACAAAACTCGAAAATTTAAAAAACCTCTGATAATATAAAAGTGGATTTATCAATGGGGCTCCAAGTACTTGTATGACCAGGGGCTCTGACCTTTCAAAAAACCGTCTAGTCTGTTCGTTTGGAGTTATCCCAATACTTTAACAAGGATCTAGTATCATTTTAAAATTTTAATTATTTATGAAATTTATATAAAAAAGCTGATCAGTGCAACTTCGTCTGATCTCCCAAAAGGAACAAAATTTTCCCCATTTTGCAACATTTTTCATTGAAGCTCGGCTTTTATTGGCCTTAACATGATGACTCTATAGCCATCCTCGATAAATAACTATCCAACACTAAAATAATTTTTCAGTTCGAACCAGTAGTGCCTGCGATTAGCGCTTTAACCAAACAAAACTCTTTAGTTTCAAATATTGGTGTAGATGATTTATTAGTCGGCAATAATCATTTTTTACACGCTTTATATTAGCTGCACTTGTATGTTTGTTTGTATGTTTGTAACCGACTCCTTTAGGCGTGATTTTGACTGACTTTAAACGGTCAGAATTCGTTCAAACTTTGTAGATATATCGAGGACCGATGACAATACACTAATTTAAAAAAAATATAGTTTTAAAAACTAAAAAACAATATTTCTATAGAAAACCAAACTAAAAAAATAGAAAATAAATTTGAAAAAAAGCGTGGGGTGCTTTTTACTATTGACAAGAGGCACCCCACGCCCAAAGGAGTCGGTTACAAACATACAAACAAACATACAAGTGAAGCTAATATAAAGCGTGTAAAAAATGATTAATGACGACAAATTCAAATTTCAATCGGCGCAACGTGTAACAGTGTACAGGTAGTTATGCAGCTGTACCGTCTGCCTAACGCCTAACTACCTCGTTAGAACTCATGTCTTTTATAACTTAACATTACCATTATTGTGTAGTGTGGTGTCGGATTAAGATCCGTGTGGTGGCGGATTAAGAATACGGAATGTCACTACCCCTATTCACGCCGTGGGTGTCGTAAGAGCCGACTAAGGGACCATACTACAAGACAACAGCACTGCGAAGAGAAGGAAAACTTGAAACAAACCCTATACCAACCCGTCTGGCTAGGATGGTATAGTAGGCCAAAACCTCCTTTCTAAGGAGAGGCCTATATCCAGCAGTGGACTATTATAGGCTGTTGATGATGATGATGATGATGATATGTAAACTACCCTAAATTTTTAAATACCAAATATCCGTGTTCAGCAGTGCTATTCTCTAAGGAAACAGGCTTGCGTACAGCGCTGTCACAGCGTCAAACTTCAGACTATGTCCGTTTGAAATTCGACCCTGCAGCGCTGTCACAGCGTCGAATTTCAAACTAAGTTAGTTTCTAACTAACCGAATTTCGTAAAAAACTCAAGTGACTCCCAATTAGGCTTCGCCGGACTACTCACATCCTCCCTTTACTATATAATATTTTATTTATTCCTGCAACTCCTATTTACTTAAAGAAACGATTCGCATTTATCCATGACACACATACACGATACTTGAGATCATCGGAAAATCTTACACTAGAAATTCCCACACACTCCACAACTTTTACTGATAAATCTTTTACAGTACAAGTAGCACGCCTATGGAATTCCTTACCGGAAGCTATAAAGCGCCGGTCATCATCACATCATCACATCAACAGCCTATACTAGTCCACTACTGGACATAGGCCTCTCCTTAGAAAGGAGGTTTTGGCCTACTATACCACGCTGGCCAGACGGCTTGGTATAGGGTTTGTTTCTAGTTTTCCTTCTCTTTGCAGTGCTGTTGTCCTGCTTAGTTTGCTCCCTTAGTCGGCTCTTACGACACCCACGGGATGAATTGGGGTGGTGACAATTTATATTCTTAATCCGTCACCACACGGATAACTATTTAAGGATCACTATTTATCTCTGTAAGAAATATGTGTTATATAGGTATCTAATGTATGTATGTGTATATCTATATGAATGTATGTATGTGTATGAATATGTATTTGTGTAAATTTATAGCATGCGCACAGATTACATATTACTTTACAGTATAGTCCATCCAAACGTTGCCTGTAAGAGATCGCAGACTGCGATAAGGCCGCCCCTTGTACCACAGTTTTTTTTTTTATGTTTATATTCTGAATTGTGTTTTTTCTATCCATGGTGTGCAATAAAAAGTACCTATCTATCTAAAGATATTAAAAAAAGCGTTAAATTTTAAAAGGGAGAGAGATTATGGAGCAGTAACACAAAGGTAGGTATGCACTTATATCTGCTAATGATTTATGTTTTTAAGACTGGACAAAGGAACAAGGACACGTGACGGGATCGCGGATTTTTAGGTTTCCGTACCTCAAAAGGAAAAAACGGAACCCTTATAGGATCAATTTGTTGTTCGTCTGTCTGTCTAACCCTTTATCGCGGTAACGCGTCGAGGTATCGAGTTTAAATTAAAACTATGTACGCAGGTCTACTGTACCTTGAAGCTGTGTTTTTTTCTGTATTAACGTAAAAAAAGATACGGCATTTTATGCTGCAAAAAACACGCATATTTCGACACTATCAAGGGAATAAATTGATAGAGCATTTCCCGTTGACCCAAAACTATGAAATTTGTCAAGTAACATCGTCTTACAGGGAAAAATCTAAATACTTGTAATAAAATCATAAAAAAATTAGTCTTTAAGTACGTAATCAATCATCATTCGATTCCTGAACTATTTATATTATGTACCTACAAATTTGTACGGAACCGTCGTTGGGCGAGGCCAACTCGCACTTGTCAGGTTTTTTTTATGGGAGTAGGAGTAGACGGCTCAGCTGATGGTAAGTGAGTGACAAGCCCCCAAAAACGGGGAAAGAAGTTTGGGCTCCGGTGTTCTCACTCACTAGGTGAAAAGCCAGGAAAGAACTCCGGATACCTGTAAGGCCTTGTTATGAACGAACACTCCTGTCGAACTGTTCAACACATTTTATCACGCTGGTATTTTATTTTGTCATTTGTAGAAGTATAGTGCAATATTCTCTAAGATTTTAAAATGTATGAACGTTTACATAGTTGCTCTTGAGCCCCTCACTTCCGCGCCCCTCCACTACTCTCGCACGGCCACCGGCAGCGACAACGTACCTAATCATTTTACCGTCTTATTGTTTATACTAGCTGACCCGCGCAACTTCGTCTGCGTCTCTCAATAGAAATAAATTTTCTCCGTTTTTTAAACATTCTTCATTGGTGCTCCGCTCCTATTGGTCTTAGCGTGATGATATATAGCCTTCCTCGATAAATGGGCTATCTAACACTGAAAGAATTTTTCAAATCGGACCAGTAGTTCCTGAGATTAGCGCGTTCAAACAAACAAACAAACTCTTCAGCTTTAAAATATTAGTATAGATTTCCCATTATATCTTCATTATATCTTCTGACCAACTCCCTCAATTGACTGCCTCGGTGGCGCAGTGGTAGCATATGCGACTGCTGTTCTGAAGTCTCGGGTTCGATTCCCAGGTTGGACCAAATGTTTGTGTGCTCTGCAAATATTTGTTTCGTAGTTTGGGTATTTTCTATGTATAATATGTATATATTTACAAAAAAAAGTATATAAATATTCTATCAATCAATCTAGCTTTCATAGTTCAAGCTCTGCTAACTTTGAATAGTGATCTAGTGATGGCGTTGTGTGTCAGATGTCCAAATATTATATAATTAACATGCTGTAAAAAATAAACTTTAATCTCCATGAAATTACCATTTGTTTTTATAAGAATTTGTAAAGTATACGAGGAACCTGCATCCAAACTTAATCTTGTAAAATTTATTTTACTTTAAATATAAAAACCTAATTTTTTTCAGATATGTGGTGTCGCGGACTGTTTTTTTGTTAAGTTAAAAGTAATGATTACTTTGGTATAGACTCCGTTCAGGAAGCACACGCCATATTAAAGAATTATTGAGATTAATTATTAAAAACAATTAAAAAAAAATAAAAAAAATAAAAAAAAATAAAAAGTAGTCTATAGCACTCAGGGATAATATACCTCTAGGGCTTTCCTTTCTAGGGTATACCTGCTTCCCGGCTACGGGTACCTGGAGACGGCGTGCGGTTTTTGGGCGGTTCGAGTCCGATATAATCACCCATTGATGGGTGGTATCAGAGGGGCGTTTCGCACAAAAAAAGAAAAGAAAAAAAAGGTATGATATACCTTCCTAACAGTGAAAGAAGTACCGGAGATTACCCCGAACATACAAACTCACAAACTTTACCTATTTCTAATCATCAACAGGCGTTTAATAATCCACTGCTGGACATAAAGTCTCTCCTTAGAAAAAGGGTTTTAAATATTAGCATAGATTAAAAACAAAGCTTTGCTTTAGAAATAAAACACACAAAATAAAAATAAAATCCTTATATTTATTTACACAATGTTATAACCTATGTTTGTTTACTACTTATTGTGTAAAGTAATACGGACAGGGGATGTCCAGCTCCCCTTTTTATCCCCTAATCTTTTTATACCACGTCAAAGGCAAACAAGCATGCAGCACATAGGAACGTGTTATTTAGAATAGTTAGTTTATATATAGGTGTATAGTAAATTTAAAAATTACTTGAAAACATTGTGATTCCTAGATCTCAGCCAAAAGTAAAAATTCGACAATGATTAATTAAATTTTGGATTCTAATTAAGCTCTATTTTAGATAGGGGAAAAAATTGTAGGTTCAATTTATTTATTTCAAGATTATCAGCAAAATATGGAGAAAAAATCACAAACAATATCCTTTTTTTATTTAATGAAAAACTTAATAGAGGCGTCGAAAACCCCAGATACAACCGCGATCGAGGGTTGGTTACAGACAGGTGGCTGACCATAACAAAATCATGCAAGAATGGACCCAGAATAAAATTTGGAACAAGGCAGGAAGATGACGACGAATGTGACGAAGATAATGATGATGATTGTGGTGATGATGGTGATTGTGGTGGTGATAATAATGTTGGTGATGATGATGATGATGGTGGTGATGATAATGCCAGGTGATGATTATAAGATTATATGTTATAAATTCAAAAAACAGTTTTTCGTAGTACCTTCGATTGAGCTCTATATCATTTTATAATTAAATTAATTACAGTCGAATTTTCATTTTGGGCGGCCAGAATTCAACATATTACAGCTACCTATATACCTATTTAATTACAACTACCTCCATAACTAAAGTAACAGATAATTATACATCTGTGAAGCCACAAATCAGCAAATATGCGGCATATTTGCTGATTTGCTACGGCTCTAATATTTAGCCGACTTGTACAAAGGTTCGTCCCCTCCCTGTGGTGCTTTGCGTTTCTGAATGATGTTTTGTATCTGAAACAAAAATTCTAATTACAACAAACGTGAAAACTTATATTGCGTCAAGATCCAGCGCCATCTAACATAAAACAACGTAAAACTATTGTGCCTACATCGCGTTGTTAAAAGGTTCAAACAGATTTTCATCGGAAACTAATAATTTGGTAAGTTTAATGAGGGTTTTCTAAAATGTTCCACGTGAGATGGCAGCACTGTAGCGTCAGGTCCAACCACCTGTCAAAACACATAAACGATTTGTATTTTTCGATCATTTTTTGGTTTATTCATTCTTATTTAAAAACGTTACAAAAGGAATACTGATTTCTAAAATTCCACAGTGCTGTGCAGTGCCTCTGTGTGCATATAAAACTTTTGCGCCTTTCTTTTTGAGCTCAATCTTCAGTTCGGCAACCTTTCTCTTGCCGTAATTTATAATAAACTCAATAACACTTCCAAATTCATAGAATTTCACTAAAATATTATACGTTCAGTAAGAATCTGTGCTATCTGACAGCTGTTTGGACCTGACGCATACGAAGCGCCGTCTGGTGGCAGAAAAAGTATCGAAGACCCTCATTGGTATAAAACTGTAGAACTACCATAGCTTATGCATTTACATAAAGACTTTCAAATAATTTGGAATACTATAATAGTTTTGCGAATTGAAGAACTGATCAAGTATATTACACGACAGAGTATAATTGAGATGGACGTTTTAGTATATATCTTGTGTCGCGGGGGACTTTACAAACATACAAGATATGGACACAAAGAACACCCAGACTCAGAACAACAATTTGTGGCTTACACAAAGTGTCGTCCCATGTGGGGATCGGACCCACAACACTCAGCGTAGTAGTGAGCGGTGTGGCGACCGCTTAAACCACTACGCAATTCGTGCAGTCTACATCACGTCGTCATCAGTCACATTTTAATACCGAATACTCTTTAAGGCTGTTATTTATGGCACAGGTCAAAACTTCATGCCGGATGGTGATACCACTTAGAACCAGGGAGCCATGTTCTTATTTGCCACCTTAATTGTTTTAAAGAAAATTGTCCAGTTATGTCAAACTTTCACGACACAAAAAAAAACGAATTCTAAAAACAAACATGTTCTTATTCTTAAAACGGTCCCTCCCCCTAGAGTCAGGAGGGGAGGGTGCAAAAAATGCGTAGGTACTCTATGAAAGACATAAAAAAAAATATTAGGCAACTCAAAGAAATTGATAAAATACCTACCTGTTGCCATTCTCTATCCAACTCTGCCTTCTCACTCTTGTCTTTGGTCTTCCTGGTCTTCCGTCCGTCCTGTGTCTTCACTCCGTACTGGAAGGCTGCCTTGGGCAGAGCCTCCTTGCTACTCATGTACGCCGAGTACTCTTCCTGAGTGTCGAAGTCCCAACGACCTGGTCGATAATTTTAAATTAGAGTGAAATAACTATCTGAAGGTCAATTCTCTTAATATAAGTTTAATTCAGTTCCGATCAACTTTCGATCTCACAATTGTCATAACAGGTATTTTCGTAGTAAAGTATTAAACACCCAACGTTGACTGTAATGTGATTATATCGTATTGTAACCGAAAATTGAATCTGTGATTGAGTCTTAGTAATACTTTACTATTTTAATACGAAAATTTATTTTATGACAGTTGTGAAATCGAATGCTGATCGGAACTGAATTGTGACCAAACTATTATTACGAGAATTTGCTTTCAGAGCACGCATAGAGTAATTTACAAAATAAAAACTTGAAAAAATATAAATAACTGTCTTCAATGTGCCTATATCATAAAATATATTCTTTATTCCCTAGTTTTCACCCTTAAGGTTGGAATTTTTTCTTCAATTGTCAATATGACCCAAACTTGCGCCATACATAATAATATGCTTTTGTCATACAACTGTTTTGACTTTGTTTTGTTTTCATTTATATAACACTAGCTTTAGCTCGCGGCTCCGACCGCGCGTATGACGGTTGTCGCGGATAATGTTTTGCTTACCATTGGTTAAAGAATGTTTAAAATAAGTATCAAACAAACAAACTCATTTTCACGTTTATAATTTACTCTTGATACGAATAATTTTGAGGTCACGTAATTAATGGATGCCCCCTCACACGCCATATAAGTTGAAGATTTGGAAAGCATAGGCTTACCTATAGGTCCTTTTTTATTGCCAGCATCCATCTTGGTGTAATCGACCTCATCATCAGAGTCATCTATGGCATCGTCCATCTCACGCAGTCCAGGGTAACATTCTGCGTACCCTTGAGGCTCAGCGGCTAAACGAGACAACAGGGCCGCCGAGCGACGGGTTCGATCCTCGGTACGTCGGGGACCAGACACCTCCACTAGAAACATAACATGCTATATTTTAATAATAATATTTTTACACATCTCACACACGGCCGTCTGATTCCAAACTATGCAGAGCCTGTACTATGGTAACCAGACTGCTGATAAACACACTTATATATTTCTAAATACATACATATTATAGTTAAATTACACCCACCCACAAATGGTCGTGCTCATCACACAAATATTTGTCCTGGGTGGGATTTGAAACCACGACCTCCGTCTTAGCAGTCAGGGTTCACTCGACATACGGACCCACATATATGTGATCCACAAATTGTTGTCCAGTGTCTAGGTGTTCTTTGTGTCCGTTTCTTATATGTGTGTAGGCACCAGTGACACAGAATATATTAATAGTGCGGGAGTGGTATTAAAAAAAAGTATATGGAAAAAAGAACAATATCACTCCGGGAGTGCCGACAGAAGTGATAACTTGAAAATTTAAAAAATTTTTTGATTATAACAGGTATTTTTTTTGTTTTTGCGATTCGAAAAGTGCCGATATGAATATATATCTATATTTTTCGTATATTAACACTATTCGTTTACATTATACATAGTTATATTATCAATGTGTTTCAACCCAAACTCAATTCTCGTGTAAACGGGTCCAATATATGTAGATACTTATATACAGAGGTGTCGGTAACGGTAACAGTGTCGCGAGTTCAATGGTTTTTTCCCATCTCAAAAAATACATTCTTTTGTTTGTTGTTCAAAAATGCCCAAAATAATGTTTTTACTTAAAAAAATCCGAATAAGTATACAAGATGTGAGTGTTACGCACAGTCGTCCTTGTCAGCGTCGGCGGGCTTGTCGAAGTAGGGGGCGGTGCGCGGGCGCTCGTCGCGTCTCTCGCGCCGCTCGCCCGCGCTGTACTCGCCGATCTCGCCGTAGATCGAATCGTCCGCGCGACCCTTCTCCGTACCCTTGTCCTGAACAACACATTATAACAATAATAACATAATCGACAGCCTTTACTAGTCCACTGTACACTTTACATGTTATTAACCCTATGATGTATGTACAAGGCTTAGCAATTAGGGTCTGGTTTTACGCATAGCGTCATTTTGAGCCCAATTAAAAACCACCAGCTTCAGGCTTTCATCTGACATAAAACTGAATTGGGTCTATTTTTGACATTGGTGGTAATTCATGCTAAATTATTTTATAGTGTTGTGTTATTGCCAAAATAAACGGATTGGTGGACATAGGCCTCTCCTTAGAAAGGTTTTGGCCTACTATACTACGCTGGCCAGTCAGGTTGATATATGATTTGTGCGTCCTGAGTAGTTAACTCTTACGTTACTTACGGGATGAATAGGGATAGCGACATTTTGTATTTTTTATCTGTTACCACACAGAATAATAATAACAACCTCACACGGCAGTCTGATCCCAAACTAGTCGGAGTCTGTACTTTAGTAACCAGACTTCTCATAAATATTCTTATACAATTCAAAATATTTACGTGTAATAATAATATTTATTTATTTCTCCTCACTATGATATACTTAAAGCTAGTTACTTTACGAAGACTAGTCTAATTTTTATATGTGAGGAGCTGGTGTCTGTGAGAGGCATGGAATGACTATATGTTATAAATCAACAGGGCCTCAATTCTGCTATTTTATGTTTACGCCAAGCCAGTGTCACACCACTGACACGCTATTGAGATGCCATCGAGTAGCCATTGGCATCGGTATAAATATCGGTAGTTGAAAATATATTACGTTTTTTGAGGAAATGATTTATTTGTTTTTATTATAATAAATTATTAAAAGAAATTAATAAATAAAAATAACTTATTAAAAAATAAAATAAAAAAAAAAGAAATAAATAAATTATTAAAGAATAAAATATAAAAATTATAAAAAGAAAGAAATAAATAAATTATTAAAATAAAAAAATAAAAATAAAAAATCATTTCCTCAAAAAACGTAATATATTTTCAAATTATAAGGAAATGACTTATTTATTTAAATATTTTTTTTATTTTTATTTTAATAATTTTTTTTTTAATAATTTCATTTTTTTAATAATTTATTTATTTATTTTAATATTTCTTTTTTATAATTTTTATATTTTATTCTTTAATATTTTTTTTTTTTTTTAATAAGTTATTTTAATTTATTTATTTCTTTTAATAATTTATTATAATAAAATCAAATAAATCATTTCCTCAAAAAACATAATATATTTTCAACTACCGATATTTTTACCGATGCCAATGGCTACTCGATGGCATCTCAATAGCGTGTAAGTGGTATGACACTGGCTTGGCGTAATAGCAGAATTGAGGCCCTGGTCCCCCTACCCACGGATATATTATTACCAGTATGTTTTAACAGCTGAGATTATTAAATATATATAAGAAGTAAACATGGGAAAAAATCACAGTGAACTGTGAATGATCGGTGATTATCATTCCAGTTTTTCGTACGTAGGTTAGTCACTACTTGATGATGGTGATTTCAGACGATGCTTAAAGACCCTATTTCGCGTATTACTAAACCATAACAATAGATACTTTATGTGTCGTTAGAAAACAGTTTATCGGCAACGACGTGTGGGTAAGTAGTAACCCTAACTTACCTATGAAAATCCGTGGCGACGGATTAAGAATACAGAGTGTCACCACCCCTATTCATCCCGTGGGTGTCGTAAGAGCCGACTAAGGGAAAAAAACTACGCAGGACAACAGCACTGCAAAGAGAAGGAAAACTTGACACAAACCCTATACCAACCCGTCTGGCCAGCGTGGTATAGTAGGCCAAAACCTCCTTTCTAAGGAGAGGCTTATGTCCAGCAGTGGACTATTAAAGGCTGTAAATATTGATGACCTACGAAAAAATGGAATGATAAATGACAGTTCACTGTCATTTTGTCCCATGTCTAATAAGAAGGGAGTCGGCAATAAGACAAATTCCAGGCAGAGTCAGAACAAAGGTTGCGGTACCTTGGTCTTCTTGAGCTTGCGGTGTCGTCCGTGGCGCAGGTAGGAGAAGATCTGCGCGAGCTTGTCGAGCACGAGCAGGCCGTGCGCGGAGGCGTCGCTGCGCGGCGCGTGCGCGGGCACGTCGGCCTTGCTGCGCGTCAGCGTCGTGGGGATGTCGCTGTCCAGCGCGCCCTCGTCCTCCAGCTCCACCACGTACGCCGTGCGGCCCGCCGAGAACATCTCGTTGCGCACCACCTTCGACCTCCTGCCGATCGTACCTGTCGTTAATGCTCGCTCGTTCTGACGCTATTGCGTGACCGTGTCTGAGTCTCATTTATATGTAGCATCTAAACGGGCCTATCGGTCTAGTGGTTAATGACCCTGACGCTAAGCCGGAGGTTGTGGGTTCGATTCCCACCCGGGACAAAAATATTGTGTGGTGAGCACGGTCATTTGTTCTGTATCTGGATGTAATTTATCTATAATATGTATTCATTTAGAAATATATAAATATGTTTTTTCAGCTATCTGGTTACCATAGCACAGGCTCTGCATAGTTTGAGATTAGACGACCTTATGTGAAATTATTATTTTATAATATGCCTTATTATGACTGATTCAGCAACATAAATGCTAAACCGCTGAAGCTACAAACTTGAAATTTTATTTTTATGTTGTAAGCATCCACTTAGAAAGGATTTTTGGAAATTTCAACCTTAAACGGGTAAAATAAGGGATGAACGGTTGTTTTTTAAATTCGTCATTTTCAAAGCTATAGCTACCGTATGTATTTTAGATTCCGGCCAAGGAGGCCATTGACGGAAAATCTATGATATGCCTGTGCCGATCTACAACCGCCCGTTTCCAAGGGGATGAGCCTTATCATTCATTTTCGTCATTTCATTGTCATTTCAAATCAATCATGTCAACTACTGTATATATTATAGATAAATCACACCCAGACATACGTTTGTATGGGGTACAAAGTATTTCTTTGACATTTTAATAATAGTATGCATAACATATCATAACTTACTTCTGTTCCTGTATCATATTGTATATATTCTTTCCCATTGTCGTCTCAAATTGCATTTCCTCTTCCTGAAAACATAAAAACAAATTGTGTTAATCATTTAAAATTTTCTAAAAACCTTTTCCATAAAAGTCTCTATGGATATAGTAGTAACATAAGGTAACATAAAATTGTACATTCGCGTTAAGAAAACAGAGACGAATCGTTGCTGAAAAAAATGATAAAGTCAAATTGCGAAAAACAATTGCGTTATTTAGACGTTACATTTCATTTATAAAATGGATATTTCACCTGTTCCTAAGAATAAATGTGTATCAATATGTTTGTAAGTTAAAAAGGCGAGGATTTTATAATGCTTTTTAAGTACTTGTGTAACTTAGATTTTACCGTGGAGAGTATAATCGTAAAAACACCAAGTGCTTGCGGCGTGTCCAAAAATACTGTTTATTAAATTATTAAGGAACAAAAAGAAAACTAACCCACACATTGAAATTGCCTGTGAGAAAAAGAGTCAGACTGTCAACGGTTGATAAATTAAATAAAAGTTGATTCAAAGAACCATAAAGCGAGTTTTTTTTTGGTTTACATCCACAGACGGTCAACAGATATTATTATGGTTTTGTTTTATTTAAAACAACATTTACATTCAAGTAAATGAACTTAAATTTACAAAAATATAAATTGTTGTACAAATGTAAATTGATTTAATTTTTACTCCGACTTGAACACACCTTTACACCTGATACGTCACTATTTTCTTAACGCGAATGAAGTATAATAAACTAAACCTCCCGCCTCCTGCCCCCTGGGTTTGTGCTCGCTTTCCTCCGGTTTGCTGTGGGGCCGTGGTGTAACTCCGGTCGAGCCTACACCCTCCTATGGTTAATTATTCTTAAAACAACTATTTTCTTACCACAGGAGCTTCTTTCTTTTCCTTCACGACAGGCGCTTCTGGTTCAACCGGTTCGACAGGCATTGACACCAATCGTTCCATCTCAGCCTCTTGCTCCTGCTCCCTGGTCTGAATCTCAGACCGGACCTGGAGATGTAATTTAAAAACATAAATTATGGTGGTACATGCGTTTATGTAACTAAACTAGCTTATGGCCGAGTGGCGTCTTTCAAATAAAATCATAGGACGTATTGTATTATGAAATACATGACTTGCAGATAAAAAAAAACAATTTAATTTAAGGAAAAATATTTTTTTAAATTTTATTTTCTTCATTTACATTATTTTGATCTATTTAATAAAGCAGTTGTTTTAAATTCTTAAACATGACGGTATGTTTGAAAATGTAACTTTAATAAACTCATTGATAACCTCAAATATCCGGGATCCGGGAATCCGGGACTGGTCTATGATGAGATTAGTATCTATGGAGTATGCCCATTGTATCCATTTTTTTTTTTTAATTCTTCATGCACAAGTATGAGTTGTACCATAGCGGACTTAATGCCACAGGCATATTCTCCCAGTCCTCCAGTTCCACCTTAGGGTGGTGCTGAAATATGTGACTTAAGAATGTGTTAGAAAATTATTGAAAAGTTACACAGAAACAGTGCGATAAATATACATACAGGTACAAGTACCAAATACATACACATACATAAATACCTAGCTAGTTACATACATACATAAACCTACATATTATTAATATATAAAATTTTATGGTTGTAATGAATCTGATAGGGTGTCTTGAATGCGAACTCGAACTTTCATATTGAACGAGAGGCGGCTAGGTGCTATCCTGATTTCTGGAGGGAGAGTGCGTTTTAGAGGTGTACGGATTAGATTAGGAACGAGGAGTGGACACAAGCGGAAGTATGAGTGGTACATAGCAGAAGTATGAATATATCCCTCGTTATTTCTTCTGGGTATGGAGATACAATGAAGTGAGGGTCAGAAATGAACTCACACTCGTTTTATGCCTGTTCAAGGTACTTAGGGGTGAGATACATAATGCAGACATGTTAGGACGAGTCAGCATATGTGTTCCGGACAGATACGTGTGGCGTCACCGCCGGCCGCCACTGCTAGCTGTTAGCTGCACTCTCAATATAATTACGGATGAGATAGATTTTATTCTATTGCTCACTGGGTGGATTTATTTCTGCCATTATTTCTTATAATTAATAAGTAGATGGTATAACACTATCGCATTGGCTAAACCTGTAAACCTGTTTTTAAAGGAAATAAATAGATAAATGTTGGCCCAAAAATGCACCAAAATTATCTTTATTATATACTAGCTGTACGCCAAGCTTCGCTGTGGCACATTGTAATTTCATTGATAAGAAATAAGGAACAAAACTATTAATCCTTGAATTCATTTTCATCATTCACATTTAGGTTCCAAAAATTCATATAAATATTTCGAAATTTGAGCTCAGTCAGTGCTTCAAAAACCAACTTAATATTTTTATATTTATAGATGTATGTATGGGACTAATCCCACCCACACGGCCACCACTGTAACTCCTGTAAACCAAGGTCAACAGCAGTGACCTACCAACACTCCAAGTTATGACACTCGGGAAGTCCCAGGACAAATTATACCAGGCTCTAACTTTGAACTGTCTGCTCATCATATATATATCCTATGATAATGTAGTCTTTGGGACATTGAACGTAATATAATCCTGAATTGTTTACAGGAGACATTTAGGGCGGTATACCATAAGGATCGTATGTCAACTAGAGTAAATTTCCATGCGTTTGGGCAATTCTGCCATATATATTATAGAAATCATATATAGCTCACTTAGGACCCATAATTTTTAGTGTCCGTGTGGTGATAGTATAAGAATACGGAGTGTCATCATCCCGTGGGCGTCGTAAGAACCGACTAATGGAAGACAAAAGCACTGCAAAAAGAAGGAAAACTTTAACTAACCCTATATCAACGTGTCTGGCCAGCGTGGTATAGTAGGCCAAAACTTCTTTTCTAAGGAGAGGTCTATGTCCAGCAGTCGACTATTAAAGGCTGTTGATGATGATGATGCGTGCGTTCTTTGTTTAAAAGAGCGTATGCCTATTTTGTCACCCACTTTGTTATGTAGGATAGTAGATTTATCATATTTCCAAGACCTCCAATTATCTTCTGCTTACTTTCGTTTCGGGTACCAAGATAATATGGTTTATGTGAGATAAATAAGGTAATATGTTTGTTCAACTTACCTTTTGCAACAGAGCATAATCCAGACCCTTCACTAAGTGAGTGTGCTCCATGTCACCACCAAGATATTTTGATTCCTGGAATAGATAAACATTTACATCAACATTAATATAGTAGTCAGTTCGATTTACAGGAAAGTGACGCAGACACACAGAGGCACACACAGAGAGAGACGCAGGAAACATAGCAATAGCACTATGTTACACTACACCATAAAAGCGGCGGTAGCCTAGTGGTTAGGGCATTGGACTTGCGATCAAGAGGTCGTGGGTTCGAATCCTGACCAGTGCACTACCGACGTGAACCCACTCCTAACACAAGCAATTTAGCTTAACGGGAAAACTAATAATTTCGGTTGCGTAAGCCTTTGAAAAAAATATATATGTATATAATCCATCCACTTAACCGATATCCTTTTCATACCAATTCCATTCTTAAAACTAATCCATTCAAATTAAACTCAATTTTTTCATTTGATGCCAAAATAGCTCGTTGTCAGTCGTAAGCGTGACCCCTAAAGGACCCCTCGTAATAAAATTAGGTCAACATTCACACTCTCAATCTCATAACTTTCATCTATCTATACAAATAAATAAACTTGAGGTGTCTGTTTGTAATGTAAAAATAATGCTCACACGGTTATTTGCATGATACCAATGCCTAAAAACCAGTTTAAATATTTTTTGTCTGTCTGTTAGTTCCGGGTAATCTTCAAAACGGCTAGAATGATTTTGGTAATATTTTACTAAACTTAGGCTATTTTTTCTCTTAGAAAAAGCCTATAAAATTTTGCCCTGTCCGGGAATCACACCCACAAAGGCAGCGCTTTTCAAATTCCAAGTGAACTTAGTCGCACCAGCTAGTAAAATATGCCAATTAAATATAGATTACCAATTTAATTTTAGGCTACAATACTATATAATCACATTACAGTCAAAATTGGATGTTTAATACATGGAGAATTGATCGGAACTGGCATCCCATTGAAAACACTTTATTTTTAAGGTTTAAAACAGGTCAAAGATGAAATTGACATAATGTGTGAATAATAGAATTGTACGGTTTATGTAAGGTTAAGATATTGGATCGTGAGAAATAATGATCCCTGTACACTCTTTTGCTATTTCTTCAATACTGTTATGGTAGCAAACAAGTCACAGTTCATGGTTATGTGTAAAAACTGTTTAGACCTTTTTTTACTGAACTTTTTATGTATGTGGGATAAAAATTATAGTCGGCAAAATGAGGACGTTTAACAAGCCTCTGCTTGACCGGCGGCTTCCGGCTCTGACGACCAGACCAGATGGCGTAGTGGTTTGTGTAACGGACTGCTATTCTAATGGTCGCGGGTTCGATTCCCGCTCAAGTCAAACATTTGTGTGCATGAACATTTAATGTTTTATTTGGTATGGGTGTTTCTATGTATAATATGTATGTATTTACAAAAAAAAGTATATATGTATTTATATCAGTTGTCTAATACCCATAGTACAAGTTCTGCTTAGTTTGGGACTAGATGGCGTTGTGTGAATGTGGTACAATATTATTATTAGTAATGGAAAGATATGCACATGAGTGTTTGAAAAAAATCAATAACAATTAATTACTAAAAAAAATTGCAATTCTTCAACTTCAATATGCAATTTTTTGTAAAATTCAAGTGCTTACGCCTTAAGTAGTAATGCTTGGCATAATTTTTTTAACATGAACATGATTTTTAGATATTTTGTGAGACAGCTTACTGTAAGCTGCTGTGACCCAGATCATTGCTTTACAATGTATAAATAGAGAGTGAATACCAACCTGAATAAGTTGCCTTCTTCTCTCTTTGGCATCCATTCCTGACTTAAGATCGGGTGCTACAGCTCTGAAAACGTACACATAATATTAGCATTCGGTTGGTATTTAAATTATTTGGTGTACTGTGACACATTTACATGTGGTGACGGATTAAGAATACAGAGTGTCACCATCCCTATTCATCCCGTAGGTGTTGTAAGAGCCGACTAAGGGAGAAAACTGTGCAGGAGAACAGCACTGCAAAGAGATGGAAAACTTGAAACAAACATTATACCAACCCGTGTAGCCAGCGTGGTGTAGTAGGTCAAAACCTCCATTCTAAGGAGAGGCCTATGTCCAGCAGTGGACTACTAAAGGCTGTTGTTAATGATGATGATTGTGTAGTAATGCGCGTTAAGGGTTTTGACTTTTTCTTTGTAGGTTACACTTAAGGCAGTGACTATAAAACAAGTCGACTAAGCAGAATGTTGTTTCAGTTGGTTGGAGCCCAACATTCTTATTTACCATTTGGCTCCAGGGAGGTTACTGTATATTTACTCATATAAGAATTTAGTATGTAAATAACATAATATAAGTGGACACATTCAGGTAACCTTCTTTGTTTGTTAATACTTCTGCTATTAATCAAGACTCTTTTGTTACCATCCGTTGGGGATCCACACAATTAAAAATAATGAAAAGGTATTTTTTTTAACAAATTTTACAACATATTCCAACCAATAAACTTGTGTAAAGCAATTCATTCGTTGCTTTTTACTGAGTGTGTGAGGTTACCGGAGCCCAAATTCCCAGTGGGACTCCAAGGGCAGCAACGCACTTGTAACTTTTGAGTTGCAGGTGTTCATGGGCGGCGGTAGTTGCTTACCATCAGGTGACCCGTCTGCTCGTTTGCCCCCTTATACCATAAAAAAAACCTTTTCTATGGCCTCTCAAAACAGGGCAGACATATATACAGGGTTACTGGGTAAGTTGACCTAGAAATATGTGACCCCCTTAAAGCTAATGCAAACTGAGTCAGTACAAATACACAAAATAACACAAATGCATGCTTCAGTACAAATAGGTCAGCTTAACTGGAGGGAGACCACTGCCTTACAGAAAACCGGTATTAAGTAATCCTTTCATTGCTTCCACTGAGTGAGGTTATCTAAGCCCATAACTTCCACATCGATGAATTCATCACCACACAGTAGGTATATAATTTATCCTTATACGGTTATAAAAAACGATAACTCAAAGAGGGTTAGGATCAAGCAGTCAGCCAGCCATAATGGAAACCAACCATAATTGAAACCAGCCATGGTAGAAACCAGCCATACTAGAGACCAGTCATACTAGAATTTTATTTTTTATTTATTTTATTTTATTTAAAAACGACAACTCCCGCACTAGGAATATATCCTGTTTCGCGGGGGACTTACAAACATACACAAAGAACATCCAGACTCAGAACAAGACTTTGTGAATCACACAAAGTGTTGTCCCACATGGGGATCGGACCCACAACACTCAGCGCAATAGGAAGCGGCGAGGTGACCACTTAAGCTCCTACGCCATCCATGCAGTCTAATGAGAATATAAATAAAATTGGATAAAGTTGAAGGTGTCTTGTTTACCTGTATGCACTACTTGTGTTACTTGTGGGATCAGCAGGCCCCAATTCATTCAGGCCATCTCGCCTTTCTCTAGCTCTATCTCTGTACTTCTCTGCCAGTTCAGCTAGCTTGTTATCTTCTTGTTTCTTCAGTGCTGCATAGTAAGATTTCTTTTTTCTTCGGAGTTCACTTTTGTTTTCTGCTGGAGGTGGCATGGACCTGCAATTTATATACACATCAGATTTAAACTATTGTCATTTGTTTATACAATCATTAGTACATGCAATTATTTGTACTCGAATTCCAACTGTGTATATGTACTGCCGAAGGAAGTACAGAGCTATGCATTAAATGTATGTAAACAACCACTAGCACAAGATTGTCTTATGTGCATCTCTGTAATATCTTACCCAGAATTAGCCATGGCCTCACGCACAGAGCCTGCGGGGTGTGCGCCTCCCGAGGGCGTAGCCCTAGGAGTCATCAACAATTTCCTAAAATCGTCATTCGTGAGCCTCTGCGAGCCAGGTGTGTGTTCCACGCTATTATCATCCATCTTGAGTGTTTTGAAGACACGAACTGTTGAATTGAAGAGTCTTTCTTATTCCTACGACTTATTGGTGTTATAACAATTGACTAATGTGATTGTAAAGAAAATTACTGCATTAATGCGACAAATCTACAACACCAACTGCAACGATTTTGACACATTAATTGATTTCGACTTTGACAGTATTCATCGAATTATTAAGACTTTACTTTTTTACCTGATATGGTAATAAGTCTTTTTAGAGAGAAAGTAGGTTACACATTGAAGATCGATCGATCGCACAGAATTAAAAATTATCACACCAGGAACACTGTTGGATATTTCCATTAGCAAATTATTTTACATTAACAAACAATTTTAATGTCAACCATTTAATGAAACTAGAAGAGAATTTATCATCAATATTGTTGCAAAAATCTGTCCCGAAATCTATTAGCCAAAAACTATGCTATTGCGTATAACCCTCATGATTATTTCGAACAATGACCAACAACTTTATCTACTGAGCGAATTAACATCGGCAACATGCACGTTCCTTTAATGTTTACTGTTGAAATTGGAAACACTGTAACAGAACGTAATTTTGCAAACACGTGTTGCGAATATAAATTTTAGCAACTTTTGCTTAGTGATAAAAGAGGAGAGAGATTTTTGAAATCAATGCCCAATATGCAAAACTGTGACTAGTCTTTTCCTTTACTCCCTCTATCCAGAAAAGAGGAAAAGATTATCGGCATACAACAGTAGGTGCTGACGTGTGTTTCATACTTTTTAGAAAAAGAAAGAAAATATCATCTAGACCACTATTCTAATATCTCCCGAATACTTCATTGTTTTCTTATTGTACTGTGTACTTTTCCTTACCTGAGCGCAGATGTACTCAGAAATATAACAAAATAGGAATCGATTAATCAGGTATTCCCCAACCATAGACAAAAAAGAACCTGATTTTGACAGTTTTTCAGTTGTCAAATGGGATGAGACAAACTTCAACAAATTCTACTAAATGGTATTTCTTTTTAGTTTTAACTAGATTTATAAATAATAATAAAAAGTGTAATTCAGGATCCTAATTATATTATTTCTATTCTTATTAAAACAGTAAATATTTACAATATAAGCATGTATTATAAACTGTAAAACTGCATTGAATTTTAAGAATGAAAGTAAAAATACTCACCTTTTTTTCGTCCCCAAAATGTGACGTAGAATACTAGTTTACAAAATCATTATTGTAGGTACTATCGAATGGTATTACATTTAAAGAGATTCGAACATATAAGCATTGTGGTTCTTAAAAAAAAAAAGGAGACCGACAGAATTGGGCCAAAAGACGGGCAGCAATTTATAAAACAAATTAAAATAGTAATAGTTTTATTTTATTATTAATAATTTTGTAATATTATGAAAATATTATAAATATAATATTCGTGGGAATATGTTTGTATCAAATGAATAAATATTAAAAAAACATTATAAAATAATTATATTGATGTATGACGTGTGACGTACAATTTCATTAAATCAGCAGCTAAAAGAACTCGTATGTGTTACAAACTACGAAAACTGAATAAGTCTCATTTCGAAAATATTTTACAAACTGTATTTTACTTTAAAAATGCATTTAATGTAAAATTAATACAAATTATGTTTTTTGTTTTAATTAATTGCTAAGCAAAATTGGCAAATGTATTGGGTTATTCTGTTTTTAAATTTTGATAACATTAGGACCAATCTGTCATCTCATGTCAATCATTCGCTTACGCGTTTCAAACATCATCACGTTTTTTTATGTCTTTTCAATTTTAGTTTTTAGATAAAATTTTATTAATGTTTCGTAAAGTTACTTATTAAAAGTTAGTTTAGTTAATAAAACGCTAATTTACAGCTTTCAACAGTTGATAGCTGAAAATAAATAAATAACTACAAGAAAACAAGACGTTTGATTTATTTTTCTCATTTTTAAAACAGTTTTGACGGTTCAACGGAAATTTATCGGTTTCTACATAGGTTCAGCTACGAAATAGTTAAATCCTTATTTTAAAATTAAAATATCTGCGCCTTGGCCCAAGTCCCGTACAAAACTGTCGATGTCCTTTCGTCAATTATTTAAACTAAATAGAAAAAACCTAGAATCAAATAAATATTGTTTTCTTTTGAGGGAATATTAAACACACCTTTCTCTGTCTATTTTCTCTCTTCTTTTAGTATATAATTTTTTTTTAGTAAAACAACGTTCACCGACTATATATAAAATAGGAAGTATACTAATTTTGGTTTTTATGTAGGTTTAAGTTGTATATTCTTTAATTTTTATTTAGTCTTGAGGTTTTGGTAGAAAATAAATTGCCTTTACTGGTAACCCAGAGTACTTCTCTTAATCTTCACCTATACGTTGAACGTTGAGTGTTAGTTTAATACTATTTGCGTTCTATTTGTAAAAGTAATTTTATTATTGTGTTGAGATCAGATTGTGTAAGCGTGAATTAGGTAATATAAATCAGGACCAAAGCTTTTCTAGTATTATATTTAGGCGAGAAAGTGCGAGTATATAATATTCATTTGTATCTGTATATCTTGTATATCTAATTATATATTTTACAAACGCCGAAGCCTACGTGTCATATAAGTGTCTATCTTATCACTTTGATTAGCTTACGATGATAAGAGTAAACAGGATAACGAAATAGATTTATTTTTTGAAACCGTTAATAACATTATTAATAAAATTGAATATTGTCCGTGTAGTGAAGGATTGAGAATACGGAGTGTCATCAGTTCACCACCCCTATTCATTCCGTTGATAGATAGATAACTGTTGATGATGAAAGTTGAATTTGAATTATTATTATTTATTTCCTCAAACAACGTAATATATTTTCAACTACCGTATTTATACCGATGCCAATGGCCACTCGATGGCATCTCAATAGCGTGTCAGTGGTATCACAGTGGCTTGGCGTAAACATAAAATAGCAGAATTGAGGCCCTGTCTGTTTGTTTATTCATTTAACCCTAAAAAAGTTTTTTTAGACTTTAGGGATTAGATACAAACGTATGAATAGATATCCATATATTGCTGTCTAATCCTAAGTGTTCTTATTTCTCGTTATAAAAATTCGTTCCGGTCTACCCTCGATCTCACAAATGTCATAAAAAGTATTCTCCAATGTTGACTGTAATGTGATTAAATCGTATTAGCTTCTGCCCGCGGCACCGCCCTGGGCCTCAATTCTGCTATTTTATGTTTACGCCAAGCCACTGTCAGATCACTGACACGCTATTGAGATGCCATCGAGTGGCCATTGGCATCGGTATAAATATCGGTAGTTGAAAATATATTACGTTTTTTGAGGAAATGATTTATTTATTTTTATTATAATAAATTATTAAAAGAAATAAATAAATTATTAAAAAAATAAAATTATGAAAGAAAAAATAAATAAATTACTAAATTAAAAAAATATTAAAATAAATAAATAATTTCCTTATAATTTGAAAATATATTACGTTTGTTGAGGAATATGATTTATTTATTTTTATTATAATAAATTATTAAAAAAATAAAATAAATAAATAAATTATTAAAATGTAAAAATAAAAAAAAAAAAATCTTTTCCTCAAAAAACGTAATATATTTTCAAATTATAAGGAAATGATTTAATTATTTTAATAATTTTTATTTTTATTTTAATAATTTTTTTATTTCTTTTTTTTATAATTTCATGTTTTTAATAATTTATTTTAATTAATTTATTTCTTTTAATAATTTATTATATCTAATAAAAAAAAACATTTCCTCAAAAAACGTAATATATTTTCAACTACCGATATTTATACCGATGCCAATGGCCACTCGATGGCATCTCAATAGCGTGTCAGTGGTATGACACTGGCTTGGCGTGAACATAAAATAGCAGAATTGAGGCCCTGTATGTGTGTAGGTTATATCGTTAAAATGTATACCTTTCTAAGAGTGGTTTTTTCAAACTCGGATCAGAGGTACCGGGGATTACCCCGAACATACAAACCTTACTTCCTTGTAATATTAGTATAGATTGTGACCGAAAGTTGAATCGGTATTCTGCTAGTCTTAGTAGTAATACTTTACTACGAGAATACACAACATTTGTGAGATCGTGAGAAGATCAGAACTGAATTTTGGACGAATTTTTATTACGAGAACTAACCTTCTGGTGACGGCAAAAATTGCTTCCTATTTTGCAAGTGTGACTAAATTTATAGTTGCAATGTGGGAGTTTTAATTAACTCTGCCTTACTCTCGGGGACAGAGTCGTAACTATGATTGTAAGCGCCCGATGCAAGCTACTATAATTGTGCCCTATCGAAAAAAAGTTTCTTCAACCCTTCTACGCTAATTTATTTGTACACTCCCCATGGGGCGGGCTGGCAACCCTCTAGTTGCCGCACTCCGCGGGTGTATAGGCGTCTGTACTCTGTATGTACGCATCTAACTTATTTGTCAACAGCAAATTTACACAATGGCTGATAACAAGAATAAAAATCGAAAGAACTTAACTTCCACGGAGAAACTTAATTTATGGTAAGTACATTACGAGTAGTTATATTCTTAAAAACTTTCCTAATTTAAAGGCTGGTTCCTCAAAAATACAATAGATTTAAACCCGTTGGAATCGCGTCTAAAATAAATTCTTGCCTATTATGGATATTCAGGTATAATTCGGAATACACGGACCTATTGCTCTAGTAGTTAGTGACCCTGACTGCTAAGCCGGAGTTCGTGGGTTCGATTCCCACCCAGGACAAATATGTGTGATGAGCACGATTATTTGTTCTTTGTCTGGGTATAATTTATCTATAATATGTATGTATTTAGAAATATATAAGTATGTTTATTAGCAGTCTGGTTACCATAGCACAGGCTCTGCCTAGTTTGGGATCAGGCAGGCTGTCTGTCAGATGTAAGATGTGATGGGTTATTATAATGTACTAGCTGACCCACGCAACTTCGTCTGCGTCTCTCAATAGTAATAAATTTTCTCCGTTTTTGAAACATTCTTCATTGGCGCTCCGCTCCTATTGGTCTTAGCGTGATGATGAGCCTATAGCCTTCCTCGATAAATGGGCTATCTAACACGGAAAGAATTTTTCAAATCGGACCAGTAGTTCCTGAGATTAGCGCGTTCAAACAAACAAACAAACTCTTCAGCTTTATAATATTAGTATAGGTTAAATTAACTGTTAACAAAAAGTAATAAAATTTCAACAGGTCTTCATGGCGAAGCGTAATAAACTGTATCCTTCAATCCTTTTTTTTTAAAAGACAACTCCTGCATTAGGAATAGATCCTGTGTCGCGGGGGACTTCACAAATATACATGAAACGGACACAAAGAACACCCAGACTCAAAACAACAATTTGTTGATCACACAAAGTGTAGTCCCATGTGGAGATCAGACCCACAACACTCAGCGCAGTAGTAAGCGGTGAAAAATGACGGAGTACTGAGGTAACAGCCATAAAAAAATAAAGCCGAAAAAGACTCCTCTTTTTCTTGAAGTCGAATAAAAATAATATTCTTCATATAAAAAAATAACTATTACGTTAACAGAGCCTTAATTTCAAGATCAGTTGAATAATTCTCATAATCTCACACTTCCCACACACTGCCGTTTGATCCCAAACCCGTACTCCGCTAACCAGACTGCTGATAAAAATACTTTTATATTACTAAATACATACATATTAAAAATAAACTACACCCAGACACAGAACAAATGACCCTGGCTTACCAATCAGAATCACTAACCACTAGACAAACAGCCCGTGAGATTAAAAAAAAACACATTTGCCTTAATTGTATAATTATTATTTTTATGGTATTAGGGGGCAAACGAGCAGACGGGTCACCTGATGGTAATGGTAACTACCGCCGCCCATGGACACCTGCAACCTAAAAGTCACAAGTGCGTTGCTGCCCTTAGAGTCCCTCCCGCTCGAGTCAGCTGGGGATTTGGGCTCCGGTAACCTCACTCACTCAGTGAAAGGCAACGAAAGAATTGCTTAACACCGGTTTTCTGTGAGGCCGTGGTATCACTCCGGTCGAGCCGGCCCATTCGTGCCGAAGCATGACTTTCCCACTGTAAAAAACTTAGATTAGATTAAATATATTAACTTAAAATGTGTCTGTTACAGTTTGAAGAGTATGAATCTCCATTCGGAAACCTCTGGATCCAGCAGCACAACAAAAACTGCGTATACTTTGGCTCTCAGCAATAAGAATGGCAATCTGGTCCTGAGTATAGAGACAGAAAGGTAACTTGTATTGAAATCAATTTGCATTTAACATATACAGGGTGTAAGGGACATCGTAACGAATACTGAAATAGTGTATTCAGACCGTGATTCTGAGTCGAAAATCATAGGAATTTTCTGTCGGAAAATTCATAATCTTTTTATAATTTTCATTTTTTTTTTGGTTAAAAATGACATCACAATGAGTAAACAGAACGTTTCACTAAAAATAAAGTAATAAATACCGCATACGGTCAAAAACTGCAATGTAATTAAACAAACAGCCGAAGCGCGCGGGGCCGCCCCTCCGGCCGCCAACTTGTGTTAGTGTGCGTAGACTGTTTACACGGAATACACATGTAGTTATTACTTTTGTGCGATAACTACGGGGACCCTTTTACCTTCGGCAGCTGATTGCATAAAAAAGTTTAAAAAGAAAATTCCAATGATTTTAAACTCAGGATGATGGTCTGAATACACTATTTCAGTATTCGTTACGATGTCCCTTACACCGTGTATAAAACTAACTGAATAGATCATAATAATTCTAACAGGCTCTATTCAGAACAATACACAATAATTTGAGTAAGTTTAACTTTAAATAACCCTTTAAATAAGTAATTTCATAATCAAATTACTTCAAACAATCAAAACAGTGTCTATTGCAACTACATGTTACAAATATTTCTAATAACGTTACATACACGCGATTTCAAAGTTTACCAATAATATTTTAACATGGCATTTTTGACAATCTCAAATTTAAGAAAACGCTCGTAAATGTTTTAACTGCGTGTGACAGCTTGACAATTTTAATGGAGTATTGTCTCGTTTACTACTATAAGGAGGTATATTTATAGTCTTTCGATATACAGCACGGGTATGCCCGTATTTTGAAAAAGTGCGTTGACACATCCGGCGCAGTGAACTGAGTTTGCGCAATTGCGCGGCGCAGCGCAGTTACCCATGTCTACTAACGTGTTATAGGGGAATTACTGTATTAGTTTGTAGTAATTTAAGGTTAATAAATAATTTAATGTTCTTTTTTCAGCTCTAAACAACAACATACTTCACACAGTCAAACCAAACCGATAACAGCCGGACCGAAAAATCCTCCGAAGACATCGAAACCTCACACTAACCAGAATACCGCCAAAAACAAAACCCCACATGCTTCTAAACCTCATCCTAATTTGAGTAGTGGAGCAAAAAACCCTCCGACGACTTCCCAAACTCACACTAACTCGAATAATGCACAAAAAAAACATCATAATTTAAATACTGGACAAAACAATAAAAAAAACACTAACCATCCTGCCAAAGCTAATCCCAGCTTAAACACAGGTCTGAAAAAGCCTCCCCCTCCTCTGAAAACTCATACCATTCAAAAGAAAAGTTTTAAAAATACATTCAACCCTCACCCGAAATTTAATACCGGGTCAAAAAGTTACCAACATGCTTTCAGCACTCCTTCAAACTGGTCCACTGGGCCCAGAGATCCAGATGTCACGACCCATTCCAACTGGCCTATCGGGTATGAAAGTTCTTCCGCTGCTTCCAATTTTAAACCGAGCTTTAATAATTTTGCTCAAAGCAATTCACCGGTGCAGTTACATGGATCTCGGGACCAGAACCCCAGACCACAGTATGATAGCGATCGATACCAAATAAAAGAAGACGTGTCACAAGAACAAGAGCAGCGGTAAGGATATTTAAATCTATATTAGTGCTTACGATCCACCCCACCATTTTTTCCGAAAATATGATTTTTTTTTTAAGTTATAGTTAGTCAAATTATTGTATTGTTATCGGTTCTTGATAAGTGTATGAAGTTTGAATACAATCCGAATTTTTAAAGTAGGCGAAAATCACAGTCAAAGATTCCGTATCATACGTAGATACATACATAACACGCTAATAAAAGAGTGTTAATAATCAAATCTGTTAGATAGTAGATAGATAAAAGTATATTCTGCATGGGCCCAAAAATATATAATAAGATACCATCAGATTTGAAAAATGAAAAGAACTTAATTTTATTTAAGAAAAAGTTACATGCTATTCTAGTTGGTAAAACTTATTATTCGGTAAAAGAATACATGGAAGATAATATGTAGAATGATGTAAATAATGCACTACTTACATCTTCCTTTGACATACATCAGTACAGAAATTTTGACGTATTAATTTGACATATTATAGTTTGTATTTATTATTATTTGTTTATTATGTATTATTTAACTTAAGAACTGTATTATTATTTAGAAAATGACAGTATTGGATATTATTTTGTTATAATCAATAATTATTGTTAATTTTTGCATGCTGTGACATTCGGCTTAATATGGTGAAACTAGCTGTATCTTTTCCACCTGTTTTTTTCTTTTTGTATAACCCATATTATCGCAAATAAATTGAATTGAATTGAATTGAATCGAATAGAACAGCCGGACTGATAAAAGTCATCTATTTCATTTCGATTGAACTAATAAACTTAATTCTTTTCTATTTTTGGCTAGAGTGCCACACATTTTCTTACTTTCGAATACAAATTCTGAAAAATATTGTGTGTAAAAACAAAAACTTCAGTCATAGTCAATACACCAAAGTAAATATGTAATGAATAATTTATTAATCCGCAGACCTCGCCAGAACACGAATAAAAATGAGTTCAACTGTCCAACTTGTAAAGCACCATATCTCCCTCAAATCTACCAATGCGCAAGTGGTCACAGCGCTTGCCGCAGATGCAAGGAAAATGGCTGGTCATGTGGAATATGCGGCCAAGTCATTACTGATATAAGGAACTTTACCCTAGAAGGATATCTGACTGATAAAAAAGTTCCATGCCCACACGAGGGCTGCAAGCTGTTCATCAAAATGTTCGAAGTTTATACTCACATCAAAGAATGTCCATTTGGAATGATCAAGTGTCCTGCATGTTCATATTATGAAATGCCATTAAAGCAATTGTCTGGTCACTTTGTCGATTTTCACCCGGGAGATCGTGTGATTAGCTCCGAAGTCGAGCTCCGCTACATTTATGAGCCTAGGCAAAAGACGTACCTCATGCAAGTCGGTGCTTTCCACTTTTGGTTCCACGTGTCAGTAAAAGACCGACGGATATACATGGCGGTTCAACTAATCGGCACAAAGGTTAGTGCATCGAAGTGGTTTTACGAAATCCACATCTATTCTAAGAATGAACCTCATAGAAAGTACACATTCTCTGAGATCTGCACGTCGTTCGTGGAGCCTGTGTTTGATCTGTTCAATGAATGTAAATGTTGTATTCTGACTCAGGCACAGGCTGTTACTTTTCTTAACAACGATGCCATCAATTACAAGGTTTTCATAAAGAAAATCGTTGAAAGTAATCCTCAAATAGAATTGTGCAATTAAATCCAAATGATTAATATACTATATCCGCATATACACAAATCTATTATAATGATTTAGGGCCGTTTTTCAAGCCTCAGTTATACTGTCAGACAACTAACTTGGGAATAAATTTATCTTGGTGTTTATTTAACGAATAAACTTTTTTTGTTTTTCAATCGGGTGTAAAACGACAGATAGTTACTAGATGGTCTTTCATATCTAAGTTCACTATAAACATGCGCAAGCGAGATGATATTAGACAACATTTGTGTCATTCTTTTCTTGTCATTGGTTGTCTGACAGATAATAAAACAACCTTATTGACGGTGTTAACGACGGTGAACAATGTTGTAGTGGTTTGTGTAACGAACTGCTACTCAAAAGGTCGCGGGTTCGAGTCGCCGTCCATTCAAACAATTTGTGTACATTTCCATTTAATTTTTTAAATTTTGTCTTTGTGTTTCTATGTATTTTTGATTTGATTTTTTAATTATTATTCGTATAAAATAGATTCAATTAAGAAACGAGCATTGCAGTATCTAATAACTTGTAATGAAATTGTTCATCATCACACCAAGTACTCATATCTTTCTCTACAAACTCTTTCTTTTCTCTCAGGACACAGCCAAATTTAAATAATCAATAAAGGCAACGTATATGAACTTTACTACAACAAATATTAGAGAAAAATATTAGAGAGAACCTCAGACATTATTGCATTTATTTCATTCCGTATCTATAATATATGAATAGTTATTTATGTATTCGACTATGTATTTTAAATAGTATTATCAAATTAATGTTATATTTTCATTGTTTCTTCTTTTTATATAATACATGTGCACCTGCCATGCCCCTTACTGAACCATCTTAAGGTTAACTGGTAGATAAAGCCATGTGGCATTAAGTCCGTGCAAGTTGTAATGCAGGAAGTGTAAAAATAAATAAAAAATTAAAAAATAAATAAACAAATACACTAAAGTCAAAATCACTATTCTTCAGATAATATCACTAACTGAGGCGTGAAACGACAGATAAAGTTATTCCTCAGATTTAAGCTATATTCTTCAGATAATAGCTATCTGACCATTGGAAAATCCAAAATTACGCTAACTAACTGTTTATCTGAGGATTGAAAAACCGGCCCTTAAGGGTTATCTGGTCAAGTGGTTGGTGATCCTGACTGCTAGACCAGAGCTCGTGGGTTCAAATCCCCCCCATGACAAATTATTGTCCAATGAGGGATCATTTGTTGTGTCACGGTGTAATGTATCCATGGTAGTATGTATTTACAAATAAATAGATGTTTATTAACAGCAGCAAGCAAAATACTGGTTTTGCCAAGCTTGGGATTAGACTACCGAGTTTGCGATTTTATTTTCTGTCAATTTTTTATTAGTTATTATGGAATTTTATAAGAATATAATTATGTAAATCTCTAATACTGTAAGTGGATATTGTAAGATACTTATTAAATAAACTTACTCTTAAATAAAACTATGTTATAAAATATTGTGCCTACGTCATTTGCCTGCATTATTTTTTTTTACTTTCAAATTTAAACGAATCTCAAAATGTTTGCTTGAAGCGCATGTTTCGTTAATGTAGATTCCGAGAACCACTTCAGGCTTCCCACAGGTACAGTATCTGCTCTATTTCCTTTTTGAAAGATACATATAGCACGGACTAACGAGTGGCGGAAAGGGCGGCCTCAAAACGACTCAATGTTTCCTTAATCATTTGATTAAACCTTGCTTAGGACTTCCTAAGAAAGTTTTTTAAAATATGGTTAGAAACTCTAAGAGGTGGTTTGGAATCAGGTAGTCAATACTAATATCCATGCCATACATAGATAAATTAAAAATGATCTAATACAGTCATACGGATTAAAAATAAGGAGTGGTCATCCCGTGGGTGTCGTAAGAGCCGACTAGGGAGCAAACTACGCAGGAAAACAACAAAGAGAAGGAAAACTTGACACAAACCCTGTACTGGTGGTATTGTAGGCCAAAACCTGTCTAAGGAGAGGTCTATATAAAGGAGTGGACTATTAAAGGCTGTTGATGATGATGAATACAGTCAGGACGGGTCATTTACAATTCATAAACACTAACACTTCTACATCCAAATGCGAGTTATTCAAATTTTAAAAAATTACATCAACTTCTTAAAATTTGGCTTCATTCATCATCTTCACCGCACCGGGCTTCTAACGGGCTTAATCCGCCATTAATCCTATATGCTTTTCAATATTGTAACAAGCGGCGATAAACTCGAATTTCATTTATTAATCAATTATTAATTTTATGAATATACTTATAATTTGTATACATATATAATTTGGTAAAAGTTCCGACTTATTCAAGTGTACACAACGGAATGATCCACCAAATGAGCGGGACAGGAATTTATAGCCATGGTTTGACAATTGGATGTGACGTCACCGACGATTAATGGCGGGCTTGGCTGACAGTTTTAAACTGTCGTGGCGCGATGGCGTGGCATTGGCTTGGCTTAATATGGCTTGGCACGCCGCGGCGTGGCGTTATATTATTCATGTTTAAAAAATACGAAAATCGGTTGTATAATTAAATATATTAACAAATGCAGATTGATATTTAATGTATTATCGATCTAAGTGGCGTGCAATGGGAGAGGCCTATGTCCAGCAGTGGACTGCGATAGGCTGATGATGATGATGATGATGATGTATTACGATGTCTAGTCTGAGACGTCAGTAGCAAAATGAAATGGATGATGAAAAAAAATAAACACTCACTTTCCTGTCATCCCGTTCGGTCTGTTCAAATATCTGGTCAAAATATACTTACTAGAAGTACTGATCATAATCGGTCCTTCTGCCACAGGTCTAAAACAAGGTGTACATTTGTAAAAAACAACTACAATATATACCAATGTCCAGAGAGGGTTTTTTGACTTTGGTATATTAATAAAATATAGTGGACTGTATAAAATAAGACTTGTATTATGAACTACCTAATAAGATTATGTACAATAAAATAAATAGGTAATCATATGTAAGGAATCCGTGTGGTGACGGATTAAGAATACAAAGTGTCACCACCCCTATTCATCCCGTGGGTGTCGTGTGAGCCGACTAAGTTAGGAAACTACGCAGGAAAACTGCAATGAGAAGGAAAACTTGACGCAAACCCATCTGGCCAGCGTGGTATAGTAGGCCAAAACCTCCTTTCTAAGGAGAGGCTTATGTCCAGCAGTGGATTATTAAAGGCTGTTGATGATGATGATATGTAAGGCCAGCGTCGCTGTAAAATGTATTGCGCGTATATCCAAAATGAGAGGATCCGAATAAGAAGGAAGAGTTTTTATTAAGATACATCTCCTAGCGCCTACCCGCAAGATCCCTGGCGCCGACTTCAGGTAGAACTTTTTTAAATTGGGCAACGTTCAATTAAAGGCGGAGCCTCCTCACAATTACCACTGTGAGTCATTTACTGACTGAAGAAGAAGAAGAAATCCCGTCACGTCAATCCATCGTCTCATGCTATATCTAATATGGCATGAGGCGCTAGAGAGCGTGCTTCCGTAGCTAGATTTACTAGCTGCGAATTAGATTTAAGAGTCCACTGCTGGACATAGGCCTCTCCTTAGAAAGGAGGTTTTGGTCTACTATATCACGCGGGTTGGTATAGGGTTTGTTTCAGGTTTTCCTTCTCTTTGCAGTTCTGTTGTCCTGCGTAGTTTGCTCCCTTAGTCGGCTGGAATGAATAGGGGTGGTGACACTCCGTATTCTTAATCCGTCACCACACGGACCACTTATCACGTACACGGAGAAAGTACCAGGTTGTACTCAACCAGGTGCATGTAAAATTTCACGATAATTTGTTAAATTGGTAAGGAGTAACCGCGGTAACAAAAAAAAAACAAATTAACCTTCGAATTAGTAAAATTAGTTAGAATTATGTCTGGAAAGGATAAGTCCACATCTTTTAATCCAACAGTTAAGTAGCTAGATAAGCACGACATGTAAACAGCCAAGAAATAAAATTATTTTTATCTGTAAAAAGTCTTACCAGCTTTAAAGGGAATTAATATGTCATGTTACGTTTTATTGTACGATATCTTCAGTGTTTTTAAACCAATTTGAGGATTCCTCTTGAGGAAATCAGTATACGCGTAACACGGTTCTGAGTTAACCCAGTTTAATTCTCGCATTTGTAGCGATTACACTTAAAGATAAATAAATAATCTCTTAAAGTTTTAGTTCAAATTAAATAATAATAAAAACAATTTTAACCCGGTCAGCGCTTAGTAAGGAAAAGTAGTGAAGGTGGTGAACTATTTGATTGGACGAGATGACTTCCCGTGAATGTTCCTTGAGGTACCGTCAGCAGTCCTGAGGGCAAGCGATTTAGCAGCTAAAACGCTAATTCTAAATGCAGTTTTAAACCAACTAGTAGCGAATATGACACTAGAACATCAGCAGCTGGGAAGAGAAGAAAATTCGACCTCAATAATTCAATTCCGGGATTCAGATAAGACACAGGACAGTAAACAGACATGATTGGCTCTTCAGACGAAACTGCATAACCGAGGGAGAACTATGAGAACTGGAGTAATGACACGGCGGCACAGAAAACTGGTGTCACTATTTTTTTCGTTTTATTTCACCGACTAAGATCAGAGCTGGGCCAATACGGGCTCGTCCCACGTAATTCTGGATGACACACTCAAAAGCGGACAATGCACTTTTAACTCTATAGTTGCAGTGTTAGGGTATAATTTATCTATGGTATGTATATATGAAATATACGCGTATGGTTACCATTTTTTTTTAACGTGTGGAAATCACCCCACTGGTGATTGCGGCGGGGCGGTGTGTGTGAATCGAACCGACTAAAACCACGCGGTGTGCCACTCAGCGCCTGAGATAGGAGGGGTCCGGGAACAGCTTATATTACTACATCCGGACCCTTAAAAAGCTAACATCACGTAGTATTCCAAGTCGGTCACCCACTCAAGTAATAACCACGCCCGATGATGCTTAACTTCGTTGATCGGACGAGAACCGGTGTATTGAACATAGTTTGGACGTAGCATAGGCTCTGCTTAGTTTGGGATCAGACGACAATGTCAAATGAGTGTTTTTTTTTGTAAAATAGTGGTCAAAAGTAAAATTATGATTTTTTCATTCATTGGTAATAGAATCCGCATGTAGGAACCCAAACAAGACTATAGAAAAAAACATTGTAAAAGCATGCACACTAAGTATAAACGATGTTTATAATTTAATCATATTGCCTTATATTATAAAGCTGGAAAGTTTATTTGTTTGGTTTAGCGCGCTAATTACAGGTCCTCGATGAATGAGTTAAAAAACATTAAAAGTATGTTTCAGAAGCGGCGGTAGCCTAGTGGTTAAGAGGTCGTGGGTTCAAATCCTGAACAGTACACCACCGACGTGAACCCACTCCTAACGTAAGCAACTTAGCTTAGCGGGAGGGGTTAAAGAGAATACTTACTAGTAATTTCGGTTGCTAGTATACCTTGCCTGAGATTATCGCGTTCAACCAAAAAAACTTTTCAGCTTTATAATCTATACTAATATTATAAAGCTGAAGAGTTTGTTTGTTTGTTTGAACGCGCTAATCTCAGGAACTACTGGTCCGATTTGAAAAATTCTTTCAGTGTTAGATAGCCCATTTATCGAGGAAGACTATAGGCTATATATCATCACGCTAAGACCAATAGGAGCGGAGCACCAATGAAGAATGTTTCAAAAACGGAGAAAATTTATTACTATTGAGAGACGCAGACGAAGTTGCGCGGGTCAGCTAGTATTAGTATATAAACGGATTTTGTTTACTTGAATTAGATTAGAAATCTTTACGAACTCTTTTTGCCTACATGTCCAATACTATATCAATAATCTCCAGTTGCCGGAAACATCTTGAACGAATAGCCTTGATTGCGCAGGAGTCGATTTTAAGATATTTTTTGCGGGTTGATAAGAGCGCGGGGCGAGGGGGCAAAAAAGATTGGCGGATGACGTGCTCACATCTCTCTAGCACCTGATTACACTTCTGTGCAAATTTATTAACCCGTCACTTTAATCTTAAATTTTTTAATTCTTATTTTACACGAAAAAATAATTTTGTTACAGATTTGTCTTTAAAAGAAATGAAAGCAGTAAAAAATATTGCGGATGTAAAAAAAAATTGATGCGCGGAGTTAAAAAAAGTCTAGTTTCGTATGGTATTCAGAGAGCCGAGTGCAAGTGCGTTTAGCGTTGCGATTGGTGGAGATTGCAGTGCTGGCCAATCGTAGCACCGAACGCGTTCGCCGTAGAAGTGAAATAAAATCAAACTTGGCCCGATGAAAAGTAACAAAGGACTTGCTTAACAGTAATTTTCCCTCTCTTTCATGGAGAGCGAAGCCTCAGGTAAACCCTAGTATAATGATAATAATTTTGTAAATACTTATTAAATTAAAATAAGTTATTTAAAATATCCGTCCGTGTGGTGACGGATTAAGAACACGGATTGTCCCCACCCCCATTCATCCCGTGGGTGTCGTAAGAGCCGTCTCAGAGAAGGCAAACTTGACACAACCCCGATACCAACCCGTCTGGTCAGCGTGGTATAGTAGGCCAAAACCTTCTTTCTAAGGAGAGGCCTATGCCCAGCAGAGGACTGTTAAAGGCTGTTGATGATGATGATGATTTAAAATATGAATATTTAATTCCCTAATTGACCTAAACTATATATTTTCTAAAGTTAAAGTTCTTTAAAATGGAGTATTACACTCCCTATCTATCTATACAAATAAATAAAATTGGAGTGTCTGTTTGTAATATTAAAATAACCGCTTTTTACTAAATGCACATATGTTTATACGGTACATATGCCAAAATAACATTTTTTTCAATTTTTGTCTGTCTGTCTGTCTGTCTGTTTGTTCCGGGTAATCTCTGGAACGGCTGGACCGATTTCGACGGGACTTTCACTGGCAGATAGCTGATGACATAAGGAGTAACTTAGGCTACTTTTTTCAGACTAGATTCGCCCCGCGGCGTTGCCCGCGGTTATAACAACAAACGCGGGTAACACCGCGGGTCTCAGCTAGTACATAAATAAAATTACTTGTCCTGACTGAGTATTTCATCCACGCAGACCCTAAACCGCTGGGGCTACAAACTTAACATTTTTTCAGCTGATGCCTTTTATGTTGTAAGCACAAAACTTATATTAGGTGATTGATTTTTATACTAATAGGTCTTTACCTATGAAATTGCCGTTTTGTATGCAATAAGTGAAAGTACTTATTTTTTCAATGTTTTTTTATTTCTGTTATTCGAAGTAATCACCCATGCAATCGACGCATCTTTGCCAACGCATTGGCAGTTTATTGATGCCCTTCTTGTAAAAATCAGCTGGACTGGAGACCTTGCACCTACCGACTATTACTTTTTCCAAAATGTAGACAACTTTTTAGTGGGTAAAAAATTCAATTCTTTCACTTGTTGCATACAAAACGGCAATTTCATATATAAAGACCTAATATTAGGTGTATAAAAATCAAAGTCCTGAGTCAACACGATAAAAAGATATGGGCAAATTTCGATTTTCGCGATAACTTGTAAGTACCAAAATGTATCTTAATTTTCAACCTTTTTTCATTTTTCAGAATTTTCTCTTTACTTGTGCTGTAAGACCTTGCTTTTAACCAAAATTGATAATTCAAGGTCAACCGGAAGTACCCTATAGGTTTTGGGATGAAAACCTACATGGCAGTTCCCGTTGACCTAGAATCACGAAATTTTCCAAAAAGAAACGTCTTATAGCACATAAATAAAGGAATAATTCCAAAAAACAAAAAAAGTTGAAAATTAAGATAAATATTGGTAATTACAAATTTTCACGAAAATCTACGTAAAATCTGGGTAGGTACGGAACCCTCGGCGCACGACTTCGACTCGTACCTGACCGGTTTTTAAGTTAGACACATGAAATAAGAAATAATCGCTCGAATACTCAGTTAGTTTGACATCACATCACATCACATGAACAGCCTTTAATAGTCCACTGCTGGACATAGGCCTCTCCTTAGAAAGTTTGACATAAACTATAAATATTGGCCGGCAGTTTACGTGCTTGAAATCTCCCCCACCCAACCACATCGCGCTCAAGATCCTCGCCGAGCTGTACACAAGTGATACATACACACTCGTAGTCTTATCACTTGGATAACACTAGACTTGGAAGATTAAATGGATATTGGGGATTAAATAGCATTTAGATTTCAACGTCACCCACAACATCGGCAAAGTTTAGTGATTTTCAACTCGAGTAAGGATTATATGCTCATTATAAGATAACTTAAATATATTTTGTTAATTTATTGCAAACGATTAATAGTATCTATTAATACGGTATTTTCAGTGTTAACTTATCATTATTTATGTTCTACTGAAATTTAGTTAAAAATTTACTAAATGGAGAATATCAGATAGTGTTATTTAATAAAAGTAAATTCATGTTATGGCTGACGATAAATACAAAAAAAGGGTGATTGTAAGCGCCATGTCAAAACAAGGTTTCGGGTGAGTTGCACAAAAATACATTATAATTAATTTATTATTTAGTTAGTTAAGCTAGTTTGTGTACACTTCAAAAACTAGAAAATTACCCACACATATATAAAACCCACTTCGAAAACTGTTTTAATCTATTTTTCTAGTTATCTTTTCTTGTTTCTCATCAATGCAACCACGACCATGTACCAGAGCGAAGCGTGACAGGGTACAACTAGATATTTATATAAGTGATTGTCTTTCGATAAAATTACTATCGACTTCCAATCGAAGGTATCGTGTCAAAAAAGTTTCCTTGCAAGGGGGAGGCAAACTAGGTCATCCACTCCAGGCGGCAGTTTCAAGGGGCGCCAAAATCATAATATAATACGGTTAAAAAAAACAATATATTGACCTCCCAATGAAGAAAAATGCCAACCATCAAAAAGCCAACCAACGTAAAAAACTTACAAATATATTAATATTTGTGAGTTTTTAAGTTATTTACCTCAAACGCTGGAGAGAGCCCTCTCTATTTCTCTCCCTCTAGCGCCTTATTTCTGTACCGGTCCGAATATTTTTAAAAGAAATTTCCGTACTAGGAATATATCCTGTATCGCGGCGAACTTTACAAATATTCATGAAACGGTAACAAAGAACACCCAGACTCAGAACACAAATTTGTGGATTACACAGAGTTGTCCCATGTGGGATTCGAACCAACAACACTCAGCGCAGTAGGAAACGGCTTGGCGACCGCTAAACCACTACGCTATCCGTGCAGTCAAAGTGGCAATTTCAGTTCAGTTCAGTTTATCTTTTCCTTGGACTTCCCGGGTGTCATAACTGGGTGTGTTCGTGGGTCACTGCTGTTGATCCTGATCCATAATAAAAGTTCGGTCCAAATTCCGTTTCGACATCATCTTCTCGATCTCACAATTGTTATAAAAGGTATTTTGACATGTCTGATAGCAGTCGCGCAAAAATAGAAGTTCAGCCGTCTCGTATCCGATCCTAACCTAGTTTATGAAAAAGGTTCGGAGGAAGAAGATTCAGCAGATCAAAATAACTCAAACTAATTATCATTATAACACTATCTTATTATTGCATATTATTATTTATTACTAATAAATCCTATTCCTTGGCAAGTTAGAAGGTGTTATGCGATAAATTATATTTATTATGATTCATCTGTCAACTGTCTTATCTAAAGATAGACGTGCAGATTGTAGATCTGCTTACGATAATAAAGTTTTTGTTACACCAACACAGATTATTTACATGATTTTGCACTTGAGGGATATCTACTAGTTATCAAGTAACTAACCAACCACCAGCTTCGCTAATTTAAATATCGCTTTTGTTAATCGGTGGTTCGAATCGAATTCGGATCGGACTTAGTGCGAAACTTGTCTAAGAGTAGAAACTCAACGCACACAATACAAGTATACGGCACTCAACGCCTACAATACAAGTATACGGCACTCAACGCGCACAATACAAGTACATATTTTTGACAGGCCTCTTGGTCTAGTGGTTAGTGAACCTGACTGCTAAGCCGGAGGTCGTGAGTTTGATGCCCACCCAGGACAAATATTTGTGTGATGAGCACGATCGTTTGTTCTGTATCTGGATGTAATTTTTCTTTAATATGTATTTAGAAATATATAAGTATGTTTATCATCAGTCTAGTTACCGTAGTACAGGCTCTGCCTAGTTTGGGAGCAGACGGCCGAGTGTGAAATGTGTGATGTTATTTTTATTATTATTAAACAAGAAATGAAAAGGAAAGGCTGAGGTTATATCGAAAATCTCTTGATATAACATTAACATCTACAACTATAACTTTTTTTACAAATTGTACTGTAATTTTAATATCTTTGAAAAACTTCCAGGTATCAAGCGTGAAAGTTTTTCAAAGATATTAAAATTAAATAGTATAAAAAAGTGTGCTTCAGACCACACGACTAAAGTAAAACTTCTTTAAAGAAATGTGAGAAAGCAGTCACATTTGTGCCAAAAGGGATGGTTCACCACGATTACCATAAATATGAATGACTAGCTGACCCGCGCAACTTCGTCTGCGTCTCTCAATAGTAATAAATTGTCTCCGTTTTTGAAACATTCTTCATTGGTGCTCCGCTCCTATTAATCTTAGCGTGACGATATATAGCCTATAGCCTTCCTCGATAAATGGGCTATCTAACACTAAAAGAATTTTTCATTAGCGCGTTCAAACAAACAAACAAACTCTTCAGCTTTATAATATTAGTATAGATTTAAAACACAGCCACCAGTTTTCGCACCGTCAACATTATAAATATTCTATTACCTTCCCTGATTTGTTAACATATGACATTTGATTCATAGCGAATATCGATAACAGATGAAATGATTGATAATATTTTTGTCTCCACACTGACAAAAGCAACGAAATTGCCAGAAATACATGTGCAATCAATCAAAACAACTGGCGTAGATCTTGTGACACCTATTGTCCAAGTGTCGTAGATAGAATACTGTAGTCAACATTTAAATTGATTAGAAAATAATAACAAGAAAATAGTATACGTATATATATTCAAATGAAAAGAAAATTATGAAATCGGATTTAAAAAGAGAAACGGATAAACATATTTTTTTTCCAACTTTATAATATTGTCAATATAATTGTGGATAAGGTTTCGCTAAATGTTTGATAAAATATTGTTACTATTATAATATAATAATAATTATAATATAATAATTTTACACGTCTCACACACGGCTGTCTGATCCCAAACTAGGCAGAGCCTGTACTACGGTAATCAGACTGCTGATAAACATACTTATATATTTCTAAATACATACATAATATAGATAAATTACACCCAGACACAGAACAAATGATCGTGCTCATCACACAATTATTTGTCCTGGGTGGGAATCGAACCCACAACCTCCGGCTTAGCAGTCAGGGTCACTAACCACTAGACCAACAGGCCCGTCCGTATTATGTGTTGATGTATATATTTTTGACTTTAAATTTGACTTTGTTAAGGCCGCGTATTGGCCATTATATCCCTACCGTAACATCTGATAACAATCTAATCCGGATCATTTCTCTCGAATGTATTCTTTATAGATATTTTTTAGGTTACTGTTTTAGATTAGACTATCTGTACCCTGCCATGCTTCGTTGTGACACATTGTGGTACCAAAAACATCCACGTCAACCGGGAAGTCAAAGTACTTTTGACAACATCATCAGGCTATTATAACCTCATTTAACCCAAATGACAATTTGACCATTGATACCCAAACAGGGGATCTGGCGCTGGATGCCTGCTACCGTGCCTACTCCGTATTTCGTATTCTATATAGAAGTACTTTACCTATAGTGTGCACTTAAAAATATTTTCTATCAAATGACAAGCATCTAGACAATGGTGCTAATTCTGTTAAGTTAAAAATTCATTTCGTCCTGTCAAATAACGTTTCCTGTTCTGAAAACTTGAATTTGGCAGGACTAAATTTTTTTTAGTGATTTTTAGTTTAGTTTAGAGAGTTTTCGAACAACAGAATTAGCACCATTGGTGCTAATTCAGAATGGCAGAAGGGTAAGAAAATGTGTTTGTATCTAGCAGCTCCTGATATTACTGTTTTTCAGGTCTCAAAAACCACGTGATTCATACAGTCTAAGCAAGTCAACAAGCTCTGCATCTAAGAGTTCTCCATTTGCTTCAAAAACTCAATACAATGTGAACACCTGGCAAAAAAATACTCCACAAGTTACTAAAGCACAATCTACCCTAAACACTGGATTTAAGAGCTCCACATCCAATATCCCAACATTCAAAGAAGCAACTCCTAAAAGCAACGTCAACTTGTCAACGGGACAAAAAAATTCACTAGCTGCTTTCAAAACTAATTCCAACTATAACGTTGAATCCAAAGGCTTTTCACATACCTACAAAAACCCCCCTAGTATTAACACTGCAATAAAAAATGTTCCACACAACTTCACAAATCATCCCAACTTGTATACTGGACCCGAAAATCCACGTCCTGCCTTCCAAACTATTTCCAAATGGCCTACTGCGCATCCCATTGCTGCACCTGCGTTCAAAGTTTATCCCACTTTCAATAACTATCCCCGAAACTATTCACCAGCACACTTACTTGGATCTTGGAACGGTGCATCAGATAGCGAACGAACCCTAACAAAGGACGGTGTATTAAAACTGCAGGCAGAAGGGTAAGAAAATTATTTCAAGACTTATGATTTTTAATGTTGTGGCTGAGAGGATAGGATATGAAAGGATACGAGTGAGGAGGTGTAAGACAAGTGAATTAATGAAATGCGTACGAAATTGGCTCTTAAATCTATTCAAATATATTAATTTAAATTAAAAAAAATACTTGTTGTCAAAATTTGGTATATCTCAGTCAGAAAAAAACAGCCGTTAACCAAGTTTTCTGTTTCAAAAATTTAAAAAAGACCAATAAAATATTTTTCCGTATGGTTCACTGAAGCCATATTTAATTATTTGTGCTGTTCTAGGCTATAATGCAACTAAACGGGGCCGCGGGCTGTCAGAGAGTGTTGACCTCTGGTGGCAGATTAACTGCTGCGGTAGGGGATAGAATGGTGGCTTGATCGCATTAAGACGCAATCAGATTGATGGGGAGGAAGTCACTTCCCCCTGGATAGGGTTTGGTTAGGCATGGTTTCGATTCGTTAGAATCTGAAATCACATGGTCCGAGCCATTCCAGAGTAGCCTGCGCCTGCGCTTCCACCAAAAACTAAGAAAAGGCTTTAATAAATTTACTTAATTTATGATAAGCACTGTTTTATTTTTTTTTCATGAATTACATAAAAAAAAGATTTGTTTTAAAGATTGTATTGAACCAAGCATGTTATTTTTCGAAAACAACAGGTGCTGCAACAGACAATAATCAGAAATTGGGAAACCTATTGAAACGTTTAAGGGAATTCTTACATTAAGAGTTAAAATCCAAGACTTCTAGAAAATAGGACCAGTACACGTACAAAACGATGGCTGGCCACGTAGGCTGGTTTGTGGGTACCTCAATGGTTACCATTCAACATGTTGCAGATATACCTGCGTCGAATTCATGACTTGTATTATATGTTCGTTCTTACTTTTTCAGAGGTCGATCACTTGTACCATCACAGAAGAATGACGACGATTCGTCTATCAGGTGTGTATTCAATCTATTTAACTAATTACCTACGACCGACGTTCCGAATCTTCAAGGTTAGCCACTAACTATTACTACCCACCTTTCCCGCGTGAATGTCGGTTATCGCGGTAAATAATAGCATATGCTCTTCCTCAAGAATCAAACTATCGCCATAGCAAATTTCATCTGAATCACTTCAGCTGTTCTTGATTCCCCATACTAACTTTTTATTTATTTATTTATTAAAGGATGTCCAACAAAGGTTGTACACAAAATATCAAAAATACATTTCACACGGGTATTGGTATGTGTACTCCTTCAATTACAGTTACAATTACACTTCCACCCTTTTAAAGGATGATTGCTGGGATAAAAACTATCCTATGTCCATTCCGGGGTCAGAACTATCTCTATACCAAATTGTAAACCTAAGTCGGTTTAGCGTTTTAAGCGTAAAGAGGTAACAAACAGACGGACAGATACACTTTCGCATTTATAATTTTATAGTATATTATAGTATGGATAATGTGTACTGTTTTAGTACTAAGTAGTAGTAATTAGTAAATTAGATAGGGCAGTCGCCAATCTTGAAGAATTCACTAAATTACCAATTTTTTTTTAGAAACCAGGCCCCTACATCATCGGGTCCGAACGGAGAACGTGCCGACATTAGGTAAGAATTTTTATTTGTAGGTACGAGTAAAATCTATACCGAGTCGATCTTTCTGTAATTGTAAGTGCCTGTTGACTCATTTTCGTAATTCTCGATACTAAATAAATTTTCATTGGATATGTATTACTATGGTAATACATATCCAATGAAAATTTCTTTTCCAAGTACTTTTAAATTTAAAATGTGTATTTTTAATTTTTCTACTGCCTCTCTGGAGCAGTGTGCTGTGGACCAAATGTTTGTCTGATCTGCAAATATTTTTTTCGGAGTTTAGGTGTTTTCTATGTATAACTCGTATGTATTTACAAAAAAATTGTTACTTAAGTATTCTATCAGTCAATCTAGCTTTCATAGTACAAGCTCTGCTTAGTTTGAAACTAGATGGCGTTGCGTCAGATGTCTGAAAATATTGTGTTACATGGTAGTTACTAAGTTACTACTAACAAAGAGTACCTTATGTACCTTACGTAAAGAGGGGATAATTTGATTTAGTGATCGGTTTGCGAAATTTTAAACTTTAAAGTGGTAATTGTTATGAGAGATTTTGATTATTTTATTTATTTGGGGTAATAGTTTGCTTGTAAGGATAGCCCCCTCTCAACGTCACACTGCAGCAATGTTTGCTTATAAATTGTTGTACATTTAGAATGTTTGACTATAAAAATTTTAGATGTAAGAAATTAAATGAAGACATCACATGACTCAAAGGTATATTTTAACCATAAAAGATCCCTTCCAGACACTCCTCCAGCCACTTGGCTCAAGATACAGTAAATTAAATCCCAAGTTAATTAGCAACTAATTCCTAGTACTTCTCGTTTCCGCAGACCTCACGAAAACATCAATGAAATCGAGATCAACTGTCCGACTTGTGAAGCAACATTTCCGCCCAAAATCTACCAGTGCGCAAATGGTCACAGCTCTTGCAGCAGCTGTAAGGAGAAAGGCTGCTCATGTGGAATTTGCAGCCAAGTCATTACTGACATGAGAAATTTTGCTCTAGAAGATTACCTAGCTGAGAAAAAATTTCTATGCCCACACAATACCGAGGGCTGTGAGCTCGTGATGAATATATCGGAAATTCATGCCCATATCGAAGAATGCCCATTTAGAACGTTGGAGTGTCCTGCTGGATGTTCTTACAAAATGTCAATTAAACAATTATCTGGTCACTTTGACAATCAGCACCCGGGACAGCGATTGAGTGGCGTCGGTTCCGAAGTCGAACTCCGTTACATCTATGAGCCTAGCCAGAAGGTTTATCTTTTAGAATTGGGTGCATTCCACTTCCTGTTCCACGAATGGGTGTCAGCACAAAACCGTCGGATTTACATGGCGGCTCAACTAATCGGCACAAAGGCCAGCGCCTCAAAGTGGTCCTACGAGGTCCAAATCTATGCCAAGAATGAACCTCATAGGGTGTACACATGCTCTGAGTCCTGCACGTCGTTCATGAAGCCCGTGGTTGATGTTTTCAATGAGGGTAAATGTTGTATTCTGACTCAGACACACGCCGCTACTTTTATCCACAATGCCGCCGTGAATTATAAGGTTTTTATAAAGAAAATTGCAGAAAGTATACCTCAAACTGAATTCTTGTTAATAAATTTAGATGATTGAAGTAATATATACATTTTTAAATAAAAATAAATAGGTAACTATATCTACACGCTATAAATATACAATAAAACAATCACTGCAAATTTACTTTTAATAAAATCTTAATTTGAAATTTTGTATATTATTTGTGTACATACTTTCTATTACTTTATAAATTATTGTACATTAGTAAAAAGATCTGCTGAACAACTTTAACCAAAGCGTTCAGACCATCTACAACTGATTAGGACTAAAGGGATTTTAGTCCTGATTTCTCATAAATGCACCCACAATGTACCTCAGCGAAGTTTGGCAAGGTAAGGTAGTTGAACAGCTGTAGGTAATGCTAATATAACGAAACAAGCAGACACTTCAATTTCATTTATTTGTAAGTAGGTGTACAGATAGGAATCTTGAACCCAACATTTTCTTTTCTTTTAAAGAACTTTACACCTTAAGGTAAGTTAAAGGTGGATTGGGGACTAAATAAATAAAATACACAAAAGTATATTTCATTATATATTTTATTTATTATCTCTTTTATAACATTAAAAACAAATTATAATAAAACTAAAATAAATTAAAAATAAATTAAAATTTTAAACTTAACAATTGAACTTGAAATTAATGTCATGAAAATTACGTTTACCTACGATGATAATTTAATTTTGTAACTCAATTTTATCCATCTAAATATCTCTAAGAGATTAACCGCCTTAGAAATAGATATTTCGTGGCGACATATACGCATTCATTTTATAAATTAAAAGTATTAATGCGCCAGATATCAGTATGTACTCGTATATCCAAGAGATTCTTCTTTACTGTTTGGCAGATCTTAAACGGCTCTTTTACATAATTATTATTCGGTTTATGAAATTATAAAGTCATTTACTCAACAACTGTTTCATAAAAATGACAAAAACCAAGACTTTGTGATATGTGTATCAAAATAATAATTTAAAGAGAGTGTCAAGTGCAAGTCAAAGCATCTTGTATTATATTAAGTATTAAACTTAAACCGTCATTTCATGATTACGCGTATTGGCATCAATTGATAGCCGTAACAACAGGCACTAACAATCCGTTTTCGTATACGTATATTATGCGGATATGCATTTATAACGATCCAGCACATCACTAATTTAAAGGTTGACCGTGGATAATCCAAGTCAAGTCTAATCCAGCACTCATACCGACATGTCTATAATAGTAGTTAAATCTTCGTCAATGCTTTTTTTACACGTTGTTAACGTGTTCGTGACAAACAAATTATATTTCCACAGTCACTCATACATATTATTTAGTAGGTGTATAGTAGTGATGTAATGAATGCAAGATTCTCACATTCGCGAACGCGAATGCTGATGCGAATATTCATATCAAATATTCGCGAATACGAGTGCGAATGTTGATGTTCAGGCGCACGCAAAATGTCGTTGAGTTTGCCATAACGTGGCAGCCATGTTTAAGCGGAACGTAGCCGAGCCGGTCCGAGCTTTGATAGGGCGATTGAGCGAAGTTATACAGTCACATTAAGTTCATTCTAAGGCCCGTATATTATAAGACGTCTCAAGTATCGGTTTTACCTGATATTATTTTTAAGTTCAGATCAAAACTTAAGCGTCAATCTTATTATAGAACTCGTTTTAAGTTTTACACCGTTGAAACTAATTTCAAGCACTGATTTGAACTTACAGTCAGTTCTCAATTATGTTTCCGCATGATCGACATTATTATTTCGTAAAAATAATGTTCTTTTACAAACATAATTGCCCTAAATTTGTGGTGACTTTAATTAAATCAAGTATTGTATACTCAATACAATACATACGTAAGACGTGAATTTAATACCAATTAAGGTAAATTGAGCTGATTATGAATGACGACTAAATCTTTCTTAAATAAAGTAAAGTAAATCTTTCGTAATTATTCTAAAATGCAATAGAAATCACTGCTTGATACTAGTTTCAGCTTGTCTTTCATAAACAAAGATCACCTCTGTCAAAATCTATACTTGAGTAAGGCTTTTGTCACAAAGATCGTTCTAAAATAAATTATCAGCTATCACTCACTTGATTAGGGATCGGTAAATGTAGTTGTAAGTGACGTTCAATAATGAAATTTCTACCTAAAATCAGTTTTAAGACTAGATTCACGACTGAGACACCTTTTAAAATACGGACCAAGAATTGTTATGATTTGAAGTCAGTTTAGTATTATTGTATTTGACTATTTGTCAGAAATAAGTAAAAGTAAATTTGAGTAATTAAGTGATATAAAATATAGAGTATAGAGATATAGATAGCAAAGTTAGGACTTATTTTACAATTTGTGACACTGAGAGTGTCATTAATATTATAAGTAAATAAAAACTATAAATCATAACCGTTGTATTATCTTTCCACATCTATCCAGTCTATAAATAATTGCCTTTTCGTTTGTCAAATACATTCTGCGAATACGAATGGCAAAAGATATGCGAATATTCGCGAATGCGAGTGCGAACATTCGTTACATCACTAGTGTATAGTATTATTTTCGGAAATTTCCGGCAATTCGGTTCGTCGATAGTTAAAACATTTGTTGTTTTTCAAAAGGTGTGTATGTAAGAAATGCAGACTTTACTAATAAATATGTAGGTATTATTCTCTCTTGACATAAAACCAACACATAAGTGTTGCCCTGGGCCTAGATATTATTTAAATTAGAAGAGAATTATCTAAGAAGAAGAAGAATATCTAATATCCGTATCAAGGTTGTCTGTAAGAGGTCGCCGTGAGCGATATGACCGCCGATTGTTACGTCTATATATTTGTAAGTATCTTTTGTGTTAACAATAAAGATATAAAGTAAATAAATAAATAAATATGATCACCCTTCGTATCGCATCTTTCACAATTAAATGAACTATTAGGTAGTGTGATGAAAGTGAGTATGTAAAGAACCTAGGTCAGCCACGTTTGTTGAGCGTTGAAGTAGTCACTTGAATCAGCAGCTATCAGTCTCTCAATATTTTTAATATCCTCGTAAGTATGCCACTGTTTTGAAGTTGTGTTGTATAATCATAAATACATACATACAATTGATCTAATATACTTTATGAAAGACCTAGGGGTACATTTACTATATAGGCATTATAGTGGAGCATTAAAGAAAAATCATATAAAAATAAGCTAGAAAGAAAGGTCGAAGAAATTAATCAAATATTGTCTTTGTTAGGTACATCATTCGATGTACCTAACAAAGACTAAAATGACAAGAAAAGAAAAAGGTGAAAGTTATGTAAGAGAATATTCTGAAGACTAGTCTAAAATACACACAAAATAAAGTACTCAATTGCTCAAAATAAATTATTTGTAATATACTTGAAAGAGCTCTTTTTTAAATATATATCGAAATCAAGTTATAATGGTAGATCTCGTCTGCTTTGGGTGAGTTAACCTAATTGTTTCAGAATCTTTCATGGTAATAGGACTTACTTATTAATATAGTAAAACTCCTTGCTAAATATTAACTATGAAAAAAGTCTTAAATTCTTCCGTTTCTACGGTAAATTTGTTTTCAACTAGCGCTCACATACCTAGTCTTTGATTTCCTGCTGCGGTTGCTCTTAATTCCCTTTTGAGATTGTCTTCAAAGATTTTTGCGTATATAAATCTTATAAGTCAGAAAACCTTGATTGATAAACGTGGAAGCATACGTGTGGTTTAGCACAGAACCCTGCCCCTTCTTATATAACATTTCCACGGGCTCAACAAACGAAGTGCAAACGTCGGTCAATATACATTTTCTCAGAGCCTCGTTCTTATTATAGACATGCACTTCGTAACACCACTTCAATGCGCTGCATTTCGTACCTATCAGTTGAACCGTCATAAATATCTTGCGGTCTTCTACTGACGACTTCACGTAGTACAAAAAATTGTAGTACCCGATAGTAATTAAATAAACATTTTGGCTGTTTTTAGAAAGATCTCGGAGTTTCACTTCAGAAGCCACATCTACAGAACGCTGTTCGAAATGGAAGCCGTTGAAATGTGCACATAATTCCTGCACTTGTCCTCTCCAGTGACATCCAAGGGGACACTGAAGTTCTTGGAATGGGCATTCCATGATATGAGACTCCATTTCTGTAATTTTGAAGGCAAGCTTACAACCGTAAGTGTGATGGAGACACGGTATTTTTCTCTTGGCAAGATTTGTCTCCAGTGTTATATTTCTCTCGCGAGTGATATCGTCGCCGCATATCCCACATGGATGGCAGTTTTTTTTACAGTTTTTACAAGAATTATGTTCATTCCTGCATTTGTAGATTTGGAGCCCAATTATTTTGCCACAGGTTGGACAAATAAACGTATCGTCATTCGTGCTGAATCGTGTCCTGTACATAAATTATAGTAATCGTTAAATGTCATCGTTACTTAATACATAAATTATATTAAAAAACAGTACAAATGACAGTGCTCATCACACAACACAAGTCCCGGTTGGTCAAACTCGCAATATCTCGCTAAATTAGGTAGGTAGATATATTGGTCTGGATGTCTTAATAACAGCAGTTCCCGGATCCCTCCTATTAAGGTGCAGAGTGGCACACCGTGTGGTTTTAGTCGGTTCAATTCTGACACACCACCGCAAACCCCGGTTAGGTGTTAAATAAACAAGAAAATCACTGGCCTGTGGTTGGACGAATTCGAACAGTCTCCTTTTTATGGATAGGGTGCCCAAACGGTACTGCAGTGTCCCTGGAGCACAGGTCTTTAGCAAGATAGAAGAGATTCCATAGGGCTCACTCGACTTAAGAACATCGACGAAATAAAGTGCTTTACGCACTGAACCGGTTTTCCGGCATACAGCTCTGGCACTGCGGTATGGCATATGCTCTGGCACCTGTCATCCAAAGTCGAGTTAGTTGCAAAGAGTTCGCCTAGAAGATCGGCTTTCTCCTTTTTTTCATTGTCTCCCATCTGCAGAGGTGAAAGGTAGCCTAGTCTAGCCAGCCTTGGCAGATCAGAATGCACGAGAGCCAGAAGGAGGACTCACCAGGTTCTCACTGCTGATGTGTTCCGATTTCGAAATTTCAATGGCTGTTTCGAGGGATCTGAAGTCAAAGTTGTATTGTTGCATCTGCTGGCAGAGCGCCCTCTATACGGTTGGGGTGGCCCAGATGAACGAGTCCTAAAAACATACAAAAAGTTGATGAAATTATTAATTAACGTAGCGTTTTAAAACTGAATGGTAGTAAACTGATTACGGAATTTTTATGTTTTTAATTTATAATATCTATATGGTTATTACTACAAAGTTAAACAATGTAAGTACCTGACTGAGTGTCCAGACTGTCCTTGAAATTGGCGTCCTCTTACATATTCTCGATGGTATCTTCTATATTCTAACTCATGCATCGACGCGGATGAAGACCGTCTAGCATTTTTCAAATCCTGATGATAATCATTAGCATATGGGTAACCTTCTGTTCCATCATCATTATCAGTGTTGTCAGGGTCGTACCTTCGATAGTCTTGCCGTTCGGATCTGCAATAAAAATATTTTTAAGCTTATATTGCATAGCTTCTATCGCGGGCCTTGAGCGTGGAGACCGAATCCAGAAATTCCGTAACGAAAATAACCTAACACCTTTAGTTTAGTCACACAGTTTAGTCACCTACTTTCTGAGGAGAGGCTTATGTCCAGCAGTGGACTGGCAAAGGCTGTTGATGTAATGTGATGTTTAGTCACATTTTTAGTTTTGCCATCTATCGATGAATAGCAGACCTTTTAATGACTTTTTTGAAATATCACGCTTGTCTCTTTAGTTCAGCAACTCGCCTCTCGGTGGCATTCGTTGTGACGCGGTATTTGCCAGATATTTAGAAGATATCAAGTCTCAAACTTATGTTTCTTATTTCAGTTACCATAAACCTATAGTTTCAATGATAAACATTCCTGAATAACCTACATGTATTGTAAGATAATAAAAATATTTTGAACTATATTAACTTCTCATTTATTTAATAAAAGAAAAAAAAATGATTTCTTATCGGTCACCACGCTCAAAAAGTGTAATTTGAATTAATATCAAAGAAAAAAAAACAAAGGAAATAAATACTGCATAAATAAAATAATTATAAATGCATAAGTTGATAAAAAATGCTATGCAATAGCTTTACCGCGGCAGTCCCCGAGTGCCACACGTCTTTTTTTTTAAATTTTTGAATCTTGGAAGAGCTAAGTCTGCTATGGAAGAGCCATGCTTTGGACAATGCGCCTACTAGGTAATCTCTTGTTAGGCACTGAACAACGAAAAATGTAATATTAGCTTTTCCCGCGGCTCCGCCCGCGTTTATGTCTGTTATCGCGGGAAAAAGTAGCTTGCTGCTCGCTGATAATGTAGCTTTCTATTGGTGAAAGAATTTTTAAAGTCGGTTTAGTGGTTAAGCGTGAAAGTGTAACAAACGAACTCACTTTCACATTTATTAATACTCGTATGTATAAAGTGATTTTCTTATAGCCTGGCACCAGGGCTACTTAGATTATCGGGTTATCCATTATGACAGACCCTGTATCATAATCATCATCAGCGTATCGCAGTCTACTGCTGGACATAGGCCTCTCCCATCCCACGCCACTTAGATCGATTTTGGGCTTCTCGCATCCAGCTGTATAAGTATGGATTAATATAGAAAAAATACCCGTCATTCTGTCCATTTGAAATGATATGAACGTTGTTTTGTCTGACAGTTGGAATGTACCCTGCAGTTGGAGAATGCGCGGGTCCATTCCAGCCGTCATTCCCGGTACCGCCTCTGTGCTTACTTTGGTGATCATCTCTAACTTGGTCATAATAAGAACGTCGCACTTCTAAACTGTAATGAAAACAGAGTATTAAATCCAGAGGCTAAAGATAATTATCTAGATTGGCCCAATTTTCTGGCAACTGCCAGTTCGAGTGACCTTGACCTTGATCTGCTGACCCTTTAAGCAATATCCCTTTCCCACCCCTGCCTTCCCTTCCTACCTATTTTAATACATTTCATTTTAAACATTCATTGATGGGTCTGTTAATGATCCTGACTGCTAAGCCACAGGTCGTGGGTTCCATTCCCACTAAGGATGGAATAATATCACAATCACATGTGATAAATCATATTATTTATAAATCATATCGTAACACTGACCGGTTTACAAAACCACTGCTACTTAATTTAAAAAAAAGGTCGTAATCTTAGATAAAAATAATTTTGATTCGTTTTAATGCCATTTATCTTTGTCTATATCAAAATCTCAATCACATGTAAAATCGCTTAGTGTAAAATCGCTCAATTCATTGAATAAATGTGATTTAAAAGTAGCAATAATTTCATGTCTAATTCCCATCCAGGATACATATTAAGTGATGAGCACGGTGATTTGTTCTATGTGTTGTAACAACACTACATTGGTAAGTTGTCACGTCACAAAGGCACTTAGAACTATGCACATACTTGGGTAGTCATTGCTCTGCTGTCTACGATACTGTAAAGTACCTAGTCAAAGTCTGTCTATGCAATAGGCTAATTATATGAGAATATAATAGTCAAGAAGTGATTTAATTTATAACACGTCCTCAAGCCATAGAAAAACAAAACTGTCTCTGGGTGTAATTTATTTACAATATGTATTTACTTAGTGGCATCCGTAAGTAGCGTCATCGTGAGGTGACGGATTAAGTATACGGAATGTCACTACCAAAATTCATCCCGTGGGTGTCGGAAGAGCCGACTAAGGCAGTAAACTACGCAGTACAACAGCACTGCAAAGAGATGGAAAACTTGAAACAAACCCTATATCAACCCGTCTGGCCAATGTGGTATGGTAGGCCAAAAAATCCTTTTTAAGGAGACGCCTATGTCAAGCAGTGGACTACTAAAATGATGATGATGATGATATATTTAGAAATATATAAGTATATTTATTAGCAGCCCTACGGTCTTAGTACAGGCTCTCCCAAATTTGGGATTAGACAGCCGTATGTTAGATTTTTTCCAACCTACCATCTACCACTACATCCTTGGCTCAAGTGAGGAGTATAAAAAAATTCTACCACCACAGTTCGTGTAATTAAAGAAACCGAGATGGAAAAAAACAACAAAAAAAATTTTACTTACCGTTCTTCGTTCCTAGTTATTTCAGAAAAGTGGGGTCCAGATGGCGCTGCCTGCGAGTTCGAAGCGTAGTAATTATGAGACATCAATGGAGGCGGTTCTTCTATCCTATTCTGACGGTAATTCGGTCCATCCGATGTCTTTCTATCTCGAGAACCTGACACACTGCCGAAAATCGGCGGTTCTCAGTTATTATTATTTGAAAAATAAGCTTGAATTTAGAATGTGGGAACTACGTTAAATGCAGTATACGCAATGTATATATAACTAGCGGACCCGACAGACGTTGTCCTGTCAAATTTGACACTGCGATGGTAGCGCCGTCTGTCTGATCCAATGTAAAACATTCCAAAATCAACAACTACTAATAAATTAAAAATTAATTAAAAAAACATTGTCCAGCGGACAAAATTGTGAATCTAAACCATTCCCAGATCCCCTTGAACACACACAAAAAATTTCATCAAAATCGGTCCAGTCGTTTGAGAGAAGTTCAGTGACATACACACTCACAGAAGAATTATATATATAAAGATAATAATAATAACTTGACTAATACCATCCAAACTAGGCAGAGCCTGTGCTATGTTAACCAGACTGCTGATAAATTTACATATATATTTCTAAATACATACATACTATAGATAGATAAATTACACTCAGACAAAGAACAGACGATTGTGTTCATTACACAATATTTGTCCTGGATGGGAATCGAACCCATGACCTCCGGCTTAACAATTAGGGTCAATAACCGCTGGACCAACAGGCTCATTAATTTATTAGATATAATATTTAATATGTTGCTATTAATATAAATCAAATTATAAACTAATGCATCAATATGTTTAAAGGTAATCTCAGTTGCGAAATATCCAAGATTTCTTATAGCTCCCTTACACCTCTTCGCAGAACCGTCCTTGGTGCTAATTCTCCTATCTCCTCTCCAATTTGTTAAACAGCTGCAGTGATCTCGGCGATGTGCACTCTGATTTTGTAGGTGGCATTTCTGTACCTACTAAGTAGTAGGTACTTCTGTACCTACTACTTAGTAGGTACAGAACCAGGCCACCTACAAAATCTTGTAAAAGCATATGTGTTTTGCGCTTAATATAATTATAAATTTATAACTCGTATTTTTTCAAAAAATAAAAATATAAAAGCCATTTTCAGTTTCTAATTATGATCTCTAATAGTTCACATATTTACACATAAGTCGGGCATGATGTGCTTACTTGTAAGAAATTGTTGCACTAGCTTATAAGTCTATTGAATGTATTTTATGTCATTGTATCAGTGTATTCATTTGTTGTTGAGCCAAATAATACCAAAAAAATCTGATGCAGCAACATGTTTAAAACCCTTCGGATAACCGGACAACTGGTGGGGTGGTTATGGATTTAATTTCTGATCAATTTTGTTTTATCTCTATTTCAGGTAGTTTAGAAATTATATTATTTATTTCAATACAATTATACCGCAGCAGGTCGTGGCACACCGCGGGACGCCGCAGCATGTCGTGTCATGCTGTTTCATTCTTCGGTTTATCATGTCACCGTGCCCCGCGAGCCACATAGGTTATATTTTTATTTATTCGGGTAACGAAACTCATAGTGTTAGTAACAATTTGACTTATAACTATGTTAGTAAATAAAATTTAACAAAAAAAAAAATTGGTTGCCTGTAAAGTCGGTATACGGGCGAAAGTTTTACGTGACAACGACTATGTCTGTCTCTCTCGCTCTTAGGCGGGCTAACCATGCCCGATTGGAAGGGACGCGTGCCTCTCACTCGCTCTCATTGTGAGCGCATAACGTGAGCGGAGCGTAACGCAGTTTCTTGAAGTGTCACCCGGCAAACCAATTTATAAGACGTTGTCACGTCAAAAACACAACGAACACAAGAAGATGAACCGATACCTAACATGACACGTAGATAGGTATTATGCTGCAAGTCCAACAGAAAGCCTGCATCACCGATTCGAGATCGTGCAATCCATTCTGCTCTTTTTTTAGAATGCTGTTGGTGCTGCCCCTCACCCTGCGTACCAGGGACGCACATCTCTTACGCATTACTATATAAAAGATTCTGCAAACATCCCTGAAGCACTACATAAACGTAGCAACCCCATCAGCACAGTAAAGGCGTTGTTATATTGAACTCGAAGGGCGCTGTATGCTTATAGTGTAAAATGAGCCCACGTGCTACACGCGTAGAATGAAGTACAAAATGCACGGAATAATGCAACTTTGACCACACTCGAACAGCGTGCAAACCTGCGAGCTATCTTAGCACGTACAGACAGTGCCCTTCGCTCCCGTTTGATGTCATTATCATAACTTCGTTCAGTTTAATGGTAGGCGTCTTAACAGCTACACCCCTGCTGCCGGTCCCAAAGACCATAATCTCTTTGTGTATTTGTTATGAATTTATGATATATATGGTTATTACTTCAAAGTTAAATAACCTAAGTACCTGACTGAGTGTCCAGACTGTCCTTCGCGTACTCTTACATATTCTCGATAGTATCTTCTATATTCTAACTCATGCATCGACGCGGATGAAGACCGTCTAGCATTATTCAAATCCTGATGATAATCATTAGCATGTGGGTAGCCTTCTGTTCCATCATCAGCATCAGTGTCGTCAGGGACATCAGGGTCGTACCTCCGATAGTCTTGTACTTCATGTTGCCGTTCGGAGCTGCAGTAAAAATATATTTTTAAAATCAAAGTATAATTTTTGAGCCTTTCAAAAGCTGTAGAAGTCTGCCGTTGAAGAGCCATGCTTCTTGCAATTCTTTTAATGCGTTTCACCAAGGGAGTGCGGTTATCGAAACCCAAACTAACTAACTATTGGTGAATTTGTTCGTATATTTTAATTCTTAACCATTTAATTCATGTCAGAACTTTCAAATCAAACTCTATTTACGACGAATTTATAATTCAATACTTAACCTAAAAATAGTAGCCTCCGTGATATTCTAGACTATAATCTATCTTTGCGTTTTAAACTGTTTTGACGTAATTGAGTAACAAACATACTTTACGTTTTGAAAAGTGTATTAAAATGTATTAAATAATAAATTTTTGTTAGAAACTTTATTTTTATAAAGAGTATTTACTGTGAGTTTGAAAACGCTACTAGAACAAATAACGAAGTTTCATATAAATTTCCAACTCCCATTTTGCACCCTGTCCGTGTGGTGACGGATTAAGAATACAGATTGTCACCACCCCTATTCATCCCGTGGGTGTTGAAAGAGTCAACTAAGGGAAAAAACTACGCAGAACAACAACTGCAACAACAAAAAAAACACTGCAGAGAGAAGGAAAACTTGACACAAACCCTATACCAACCCGTCTGGCCAGCGTGGTATCGTAGGCCAAAACCTCCTTTCTAAGGAGAGGCTTATATCCAGCAGTGGACTATTAAAGGCTGTTGATGATTGATTGATTTTGCACCCCTAAGGGTAGAATTTAAAAAAAAATCCTTTCTTAGTGCGCACCTACGTCACCTAAGGAACATTTTGTGCAAAATTTCATGCCTCTAGGCCCAGCGGTGACTGCTGTGCGTTAATCGGGAAAAAAATCAGTCTGTCAGATTATTTTTTTATAGATTACTGATACTCGTATACATATATATATATATTGAAATATATAAGTATGTTTATTATTACTCTATGCTATGGTAATAGTACAGGTTCTGCCTAGTTTGGGATCAGACGGCCGTGTGTGAGATGTGTGAGGTTATCATGATTGTTATTATTCCCAATTGTTCTATCCAATTCCTATACCCAACTCAACTGAAAAAATCGTAGTCACCTGTGGAACACAAGAAAATTCTACCACCACATATCCAGGAATTAAAGGGAGAACATAATAAAAATTGTTTTTACTTACCGCCCTTCGTTCCTAGTTACTACAGAAAAGTGGGGTCCAAATGGCGCTGCCTGCGAGTTCGAAGCGTGGTAAGTATGAGACATCAATTGAGGCGGATCTTTTATCCTGTGCTGTCGGCAATTCGGTCCATCAGATGTCTTCCTATCTCGAGAACCCGACACACTGTAGAAAAAGGTGGCTTTTCAGTTGTTGATATTTATAAAAATAAGCTTGAATTTAGGATGTGGGGGAACCTCGTTAAATGCGGCATAAGCAATATTTTATAACCGCTATATTTACTATATAAACTAATACATCACTATGCTTAAAAGCAATCCAAGTGACAAAATATTTAAGAACTCCTGTAACTCCCTGACTCCTTCTCTACGCATAACAGTCCTTGGTGCTGATTCTCCTATGCCCCGCCTCTTTAATTTGTGTGATCTCTTCAACTCACTAAGTAGGTTTAGAAGTGCCACCTACAACACCTCTTAAAAGCGTCCGTGTTTTGGGCCTACTGTAATTGTAACGTTCTGACTGTTTTTTTTTTTAATATAAAAATAATGATTATCTTCAGTGTCTAATTAGGATCTCTAACTCTCTAATACCTAAGTCTAGTCAATGTATCTCATGTCATTGTATCAGTGTATTCATTCGTTGGTGAGCTAAATAATACCAAAAAAGGAATGCAGCAACATGTTTAAAAATAATCCAAGTACTCACTTTCGATTGTACCTCCTGCTAGAGTTTCCAGCGCCCATCATTATTCCTCCTTGAGTAACAAACCACTTAACAAGCAATTATTTTGTTTCAAAACACACTATAAACTACAATAAATTAAAATAAAATGACCGGTCAATGCTTTACGTATTGAATATCATGGAGTACGTAAAGGGGGTAAAGGGTAGACGATATTTTTGGCAAAACAAAAAATATTTTTTTATTACTACCCACAAACGTCATATATACAGGGTTACAAGAAAAGTCGTGTTAGATCCGTTAAGGGCGTGGAGTACCCATCATTTCTGACATATTTCACTATGAAACACCCTACCCTAAACTTAACCCTTTTCGAGATAATCGTCTTTTAATTTTTTTATTGAAATTTGCTGATTTTTAGGCTACTACATTTATTTTTGTTTATTTTGTGTATCTTATTATTATTATTTTTGCATTTTTACATGTGTAATAAGATGCTTTAGGACGTCAGTCATTAAAATAGTTCATAAGTTAATTGAATAGATCGTAGTAGACAAGTGAAAGTAAAGAAATAAAAAAAAATATTAGAAAATTATTTTTCTCTAACGGATATCTAAAAACAATATTATGGTAATTGTTCGGCAGATGTTTTTTTAAAATATCTACGTTTCATCAGCTATCTAACGAGGTATAATAATCTAAGGTTTTATTCAAATGCATTGAAAAAACTTTAGTTTCATAGGCGACAGTGGAGAAGAAAATTTATACTTAGCCCAAAAAAGTGAAATAAAACAATAGTTAAGCATGAAATGTCATTTATTAAAGGTTTTCACACAACTTTTTCTTATTCTACAGTTCATGTTCAACATGGCCGCCTCTATTTCTGATACATTGTCGCATCCTTCTACGGAGACCAGTCTTCACTACTCCAGTGGTCAACGTGGTCCTCATTTTATTTGCTGCATCCACAATCCTTTCTCGTAAGTCTTCCACAGACGAAACTGGATTCGGCTCGCTGTACACAAGACTTTTCATGCACCCCACACATGAAAATCCATGGGGGTTAGGTCCGGACTTCTTGCTGGCCATGGCAACGGCCCACCTCGTCCTATCCATTTTTTTGGATAATTTGTGTCCAGCCAGTCCCTGACACTTCTCCTGAAATGGGCAGGGCAGCCATCGTGTTGAAACCACATGTCCCTGATCAGGTTGAGTGGCAGGTCATCCAGCAAATCACTCAAGTCTGCTCTCAGGAAATTTTCGTAGCTTTCCCCATTTAGATTATCCGGGAGAAAGTAAGGTCCAATCAAATGATTGGAGATAATGCCCATCCACACATTCACGCTGAATCTTCGTTGGGACCCCTTCACTCTTTTCTTATTGGGATTCCTTAGTTCTTTTGGGGCCCAGTAATGGGCGTTGTGATAGTTAGTTATGCCATCTTTATCAAATTTGGACTCATCCGTCCACAAGATATTTCTTAGAAAATCTGGGTCTTCTACGTCAGCATTTAGCATAAATCTGCAAAAGTCCAATCTTCTCGCGGGGTCTCCTTCTTCAATAACGTGTACCGGCGTGTAATGGTACGGGTATAGGCCAGCAGTATGCACTGTAAACCACACTCTCCATTGCGAAAGTCCCAGATCACGGGCAACAATATTAGTGGAAGTAGTCGGATCCGCTCGAAAGCGTTGCACTATCTCATTGTCCTGTTCTTCGTCGTCAATTTGTGGTCTTCCCATGTCTGTATTTCGACTCAAAACAGAGCCAGTTTCTCGAAGTCTTCGATAAACTCTGTCAAAAACGGCCACATCCGGCACTCGACGACCAGGGTAGCGAGTTATGTATTCGTTGCGAGCTTGCGCAGACACACAATCGCAGTATCCGTAACAAATAAGCATATCAGCATATTCCTCAGGTGTGTGGGACGTCATCTTCAACACTTCCGTATCACAGGTACAAATCAGAGTCCGGTTAACAAGCACAGTAGTCACAAATCAGAAGAAATAGTCCAGAATCACAGCCAAGTCGAGAAAAAGAGCAAAACGATATCACATCTACTATGTACGAAGCACAAAAGCAGACTGACAACTAGTGACAACCAAACAATGCCCCCTGTTGTATTCCCAGCCCTAACCGGTCTCTACACATTTTTTCTTTCATTCGCACCTACATAAATCGTCACTTGTCTCGCTCGCTTGGTACGTCTTAACTTGAAGGACATTAGGCGCGGGACCGTTAGAACTGTTACCTGGAGCGTCCCAACTACTTTTTTTCCACGAAATGTAATACAAACCCTAGATTGTTATACCTCGTTAGATAGCTGATGAAACGTAGATATTTTAAAAAACATCTGCCGAACAATTACCATAATATTGTTTTTAGATATCCGTTAGAGAAAAATAATTTTCTAATATTTTTTTTTATTTCTTTACTTTCACTTGTCTACTACGATCTATTCAATTAACTTATGAACTATTTTAATGACTGACGTCCTAAAGCATCTTATTACACATGTAAAAATGCAAAAATAATAATAATAAGATACACAAAATAAACAAAAATAAATGTAGTAGCCTAAAAATCAGCAAATTTCAATAAAAAAATTAAAAGACGATTATCTCGAAAAGGGTTAAGTTTAGGGTAGGGTGTTTCATAGTGAAATATGTCAGAAATGATGGGTACTCCACGCCCTTAACGGATCTAGCACGACTTTTCTTGTAACCCTGTATAATATCCGTCCTGGTGGTGACGGATTAAGAATTCAGAATGTCACCACCGTTTTTCATCCCATGGGTGTCGTAAGAGGCGACTAAGGGAGCAAAACTACGCAGGACAACAGCATTGCAGAGAGAAGGAAAACTTGACACAAACCCTATACCAACCCGTCTGGCCGGCGTGGTATAGTACGCCAAAACCTCCGTTCTAAGGAGAGGCCTATGTCAAGCAGTTGACTAGTAAAGACGTTTAGACGACCGAATGGCGTAGTGGTTTGTGTAACGGACTGCTATTCCAAAGGTCGCGGGTTCGATTCCCGCTCAAGTCAAACATTTGTGTGCATGAACATTTAATGTTTGATTTGGTCTGGGTGTTTCTATGTATAATAAGTATCTATGTATTTACAAAAAAAAAAAGTATGTATGTATTTATATCAGTTGTCTAGTACCCATAGTACAAGCTCTGCTTAGTTTGGGACTAGATGGTGTTGTGTGTATGTGGTAATATAAAAAAAAAAAAAAAAAAAAAAAGGCTGTTGATGATGAACATCAAAAAGACGATGATGAAATAGATTTGACTATTTGACTTTATGTATAAATGATGAACGTCACTTGGTTGTTCTCATTAGTAATGAGGGACAAGATTTTAATACCTCAATAGAGTAGTTGGCTGTTTTATAAATAGATTTGTCCGCTTCATTCAAACAAATATCACAAAAAATCTCGAAAAATGTAACTATTCTAGCTTTTTATAACTATTACGAATTTAAATCAAATAAAATATAGTAATATATATTCTTTCATTGAGGAGTCTAAAATACTAACGTCGTAAGTAGGTAACTATTTAATACATCTTATATATAAAATTCTTGTGTGACAATGTTAGTTACATGGAGTCCTCCGAAACCGGACCGATTTTTATGAAATTTTGTGTGCATATCGAGTAGGTCTGAGAATCGGCCAACATCTATTTTTCATACCCCTAAATGACGAGGTTGACCCCAAAATTTTTTTTTCAATATTTCCTAGAAATAATGTATATGGCAAAACAACGTTTACAAAATTGTCGCTTTGACAGATAATAAAAAATTATTGAATGATGATGATGATGATTACATTTAGAATGTTACAAATTTTGTTATTTTAATAAGCAACATTATTTTCTATCCAAGGGGCTCGTAGCTAAGTGGGAACCGAATAGGTTAACACATGGAAAAGTTAGGGCAATATATAGCATAGCAAGGTCTGTATATGGATGGGTGACTATTATACAGTAATCCCCCCTATAACACGGTACTCTTATAACGCATTTTCATTTCTCGTATAGCACGGGTATTCCCCCATATAACGCGGGAATTTCCCAAGTTATATTTCTGTACTATACAATTTAAAATGATTTGTACAGTTCATAATTAGTTCATTCGTTCATAATTCGATTTAAACCCCCTTTAACGAGAAAAGTAAAATGTGAATCATTTGTACAAGCGCGTTATACGAGAATACTCCTACAACGCGCTTTTCTCTAATCACAAAATCTACCGTGTTATAGGAGAGATTACTGTAACACAGTGGGACCCCTTTTTTTTCCGTGCGGAAATCCCCTCGGATACAACCTATCGGTGGCATGTCGGACTTGAACCGACTAAAACCACACGCCGTCTCGGGTACTAATAGCCGTTGAACCAGATATACCCTAGAAAGGAAGTCCCTGGTGCTACAGTGGGACCCCTCCGTGCATCGGAGAGCACGTGAAGTCGTCGGTCCTAGGAACATCTGTAGCAATCGTTACAGCTAGTTAGAGCCCTAACGAGTCCGACAACCGTCTATCTGCAGAACTTCGATATCGGCGATATCGCCTAGTACTGAGCTTGTGGAGGTCTGATGGCTTAAGCCAGACTTAAAGACCCTGACCTGGTTTGCGCAAAAGGCTCAGAGGAAGAAATAAGTTTCTAAGTTCAATTAATATCTAGCTGTTTAAGTTTCGTTGAGTTTTCATTGATTATTATTTACATTGACCTATAAAATATACTACTGACCTTTGTTCGTCATCCCGTGTCGTTTATCCCGTTAAAAAGTATGCCTATGTTACTCGCTGATAAGGTAGCTTTCCATTGGTGAAATAATTTTTAAAATCGATTTACATTAGCCTCAGAAGTCTATAATAGGCGACAACGTGACCAATGAATACTACTTTATTTAAGAAACATTTAAAGACCCTTTTAGTTAATAAGTGTTATTATAAGTTGAATGACTATCTGAACGATGTTCTTTCCAATCCTGAGACCTTTTGTGTGTCTTTTGAATGTAATTAATTTGTTAATACTCGTATATAATAATTCAGGGAGTGACATAGAACTAATCTATGTCACTCCCTGAATTATTTATTAAAAAAATAAATAATTAATATTTATCATTATAATTTTAATAAGGACATTAAATTCATTTTTAATACTTAAATACTGTAATCTAATTTGATTTAAATATTTCGATGTCGATCTTGATTTTAGTGAGTAGGTAATAATTGTATATATTTTGCATGCCTTAGGAAAGAATCACTTGAAACATACCTAACTATGTATTCATAAAACCATTGTAACAGTGTTTTCTGCAAAAATAAATTTGATTTGATTTAGTGATTTTGTGTGATAGCGTAACAAACTTACTTTCAAATTTGTAATATTGTTGCACCATAAGATTAAATGGTTCGATTGTTCCAGAATTGTATAGAATGTGGAGGACAGCGGCATCTCGTATCATGTATAGTACAACTATTGAGATTGTGATTAATAATTCTGATATACGTACGCGTATACTGGAATATTCTTATTTGTCTGGAACGGACTATCGAATACAAAGAATCACGCGAGCCAAGCCGCGGGAATAACTAGTATTTCTATACCTAAGGTTTTATAATGTGTTGTTTGCATTAAAAAAAATCAAAGAGGTTGCTTCAAGGGAGACTGCTTTAATGGTCTACCATGCATATGTTTGCTCCATAATTCGTTACGGCATTATTGTTTGGGGTTACTCATCAGAAATAACGCGAGTATTTTTCAATATTCGGTTTGAAATGGACAGATTCATGCAAGCCTGTTTTCGTATCTCATAATCTGTTGACCGTCCCTGGCATATTCATCTACGAAGTAGCTAAATTTGTGAAGTGCAATAAAGAGCTCTTTGAAGTCAAGGACAATACCAACAAACGTAAAAATACTCACTCGTATTTTAAATTACCAGTACCTCGCCTAGAAATTTTTAGGGTGAGCTGTGTTTACATGGCACCACTTATCTATAACGCGTTGCCGGAGAATATTGCAACTCTTCCTTATCACAGGTTTTGTACTTCATTAAAAAATTGGCTAATAGCAGTGCTTTTACTCCGTCAATTATTTTTTTTAAAAGTACTCTACTCAGTCATATCACCTCAGAAATGCATTAGTGTAGTAATTATTTTTAATATGATTTTTGATATTTCAATTGCAATGCAATGTAATTTTATTTTTATTTTATTTCATAATTTTACCTGTACAATTTTTAAAATTTGTATGCTATCTAAATACAGCGAAATGTGTCTTGTGCTTTAAACATTGTAAACCACCTACTGTGACTACCAAATTTTCTGCAAATAAATATTATAATAATAATAATAATATAAAAAAATATTTATACAAAACTCAGATCTCTGTCTGCCACTGAAACTGAAACTTACAAGTATTTGGGTATATCACAGTCGTTAGGCATACCAGAATCTGACATGAAACAAACGTTGCAGGAACGCTTTTTTGGCCGCTTGAAAAAAGTACTTAAAAGTCTTTTATCAGGGGGCAACAAGGTGCGAGCCTGCAATGGTTGGGTCATGCCGATTCTGATGTATTCCTTTGGTATACTTAAATGGACTCAGACCGAACTAGATGCCCTTGATAGGAGAGTCCGTACATTGCTGACTGCATTTCGAATGCACCACCCACGTTCATCGGTTATGAGATTGTATATCCCGCGAAAGCTAGGGGGTCGCGGATTATTAAATATCAAGACCCTACACAATCGGGAGATATGCAATCTCAGAGAATATTTTCTACATACCGATGTGGGAATGCATCGCAATGTAGTTGCAGTGGATATCGGATTCACCCCGCTCGCTCTGGCTAAAGAGAATTGGCGCAAACCTGTAGTATTTAGTACTAATGATCGTAGGGAAGTATGGAAGGGCAAAGAGCTCCATGGCCGGTTTTATCGGGCCCTAAACGGGTCAGATATAGACTTTAAAGCATCTACGACTTGGCTACGGTATGGTGATCTCTTCGGAGAAACTGAAGGTTTTGTTTGTGCGATTATGGACGAAGTTATCATGACGAATAACTATCGGAAATATATCCTGAAAGATGGTACGGTTGACATCTGTCGGGCATGCCACCGTCCTGGGGAATCAATCAGGCATATCATTTCTGGTTGTTCTCGTCTTGCTAACGGTGAATATTTGCATAGGCACAACCAAGTAGCCAGGATTGTACACCAACAGCTTGCCCTTAAATACCATCTTGTGAATCTAGAGGTGCCATACTACAGGTATGTGCCCGACCCAGTTCTCGAGAATGGTCGGGCCACGTTGTATTGGGATCGATCTATTATCACAGACAGGACTATTGTTGCTAATAAGCCTGATATTGTAGTGATAGATCGATTAGAGCGCCGCGCAATGATTGTTGATATCGCCGTTCCTCATGACGAGAATCTCGTGAAAGTTGAAAAAGAAAAACAAATAAAATATTTGGATTTATCTCACGAGATTGTCGATATGTGGAATGTCGATTCAGTGATAATTGTTCCGATAGTCGTATCTGCTCACGGATTGATAGCCAAGAGCCTCGACCAACACCTTAAGAGGCTCACGTTGGACGGCTGGATCAAGGGTCTGATACAGAAGGCAGTCCTCCTTGACACGGCTCGTATAGTGAGGAGGTTCCTATCTTTGCAGTCCTAACCACTGGTGTCTTGGTACCTGTACCCGATGTCGGTGGTCTACTATTTTTTATATTTTTAAATGTATTTTTATTTCTTTTGTAATATATTTAAAAATGTAATTAATATGTATATATAATTTAATAAAGAGAATAATAATATTATTAATGCGTCTGCCTAGATTATCCACGTACTGCTAATATAATTTTCTTACCTTAGATCTATTTTATATTTTAAAAAAAACATAAAGTATAATTAAAAGGTTTATTTGTTAATGATAGATCAAATACAGACAAAATGAATAAAAACCTAAGCCAATATGATACTATTAAATTACAGTAGTATTAAAAGAAAAACAGAAAAGTTGCAGCGAAATGACATTTTGATTACTTTACAGTTCAGCGTCAACGTTATTAATAATAGAACCATACTGTTAATTATAATCTTATTTACCACTTTATTAACGATCGATAAAATTTGTGATAAAAAAAGAAAAAGAAATTTAAAAAAAGAATACTGTATTTTTTCTGCAACACCCTGACAATGTGCCAAGTAAACGAAATTAAAACATAACCTAAATAACCTCTATCAATATGAATTAGTATTTCTGAAGTGACTGAATATATGGCAAACGCTAGTTGTTTCATGATTGCCAATTGAAAAATTGGCGAAGAAACAAAAGAAATGTAAAATAATCAAACTTAAACATCACATTTATACTAATTTACACAAATTATAATTATTTTTATACATAATGACGGCGAATAAATGACTTTACTAAGACTTTATAGTTCTTATTAATGAAAATGACATTTTCTGTTATAAAATATTTATATTTTAGTTGATAAACTCATTTATTTGCCAGTGGTAAACCCTTGAGCTGGCAACACTTATTATTGATAAGTGTTTAGTGTCGCATACCGCAAAAAAACTATTTGTATATTTGAAATAGTAGGTTTTTATATTGATTCTTATATCTATCAATCATAGTTAGTTAATATATTTTACTATCAAAATGTTTTAGTAGCATTTTGAGTAAAATTCCAAGGTTCTTAAAGAAAACCTAGTCGAATAATGTGCTGACGAATTAATCGAGCATGTTCGTTATTTTTTTAAACTGGCTACGACTAGGTACCGTTAATATACGATCCCTAGTTACGGCCACAGCGTCTGTTTTTAGTACCATCAACAGGACCTTATTATCTACACACCTACACACCATGACCATAATAACAAAATAAACATTATAATATACCCACTTCTTTTATCTTTAAATATCATCAGGATTATGGTTCTTTAGCTTTTTAAATAGCAATCCAAATTAACACATAAGAAATATTATAATCTTGATATTACTAACAATTTTTCAATTGATATCAGGACTATTCCAATGTTACCAACGTCAAATATAAAAGTGAAATATTTTTAATAGGTACAGTAAAAAATATTTTCGTGATAACATTCAAAAATGGTCTTAAAGAACTCTTAAATTATTACTATATTTAATGCGACATCTAAATCCTTGTCTTGTCACACTTACGGTAACTAGAGCGATGGGCGTACATGTCACCAGTAGCGCAGCCAGTCCCTATAGGAACGTAGTTTCTTATGTAAAAATATATCGTAATCAATAATATGGGTAATCTATGTCATAATATTTGGCTTACACAACTTATTCATTAAAAACCAATCTACCGTCTTAGTCGTGAACCTTTTTTTACAATTATAATTATCTTAACCAACCAAAATGTGGTTATCAATAGTATTGGCTTCGAAATGTCATATTTTGACAGTTACCTCAATTAATACTTTGTAACACTACACTTCTATTATAATTTGCAATCCAAATAAAGTAACATTGTTGTACTTTTCGAAATCGACCACGACGGAAAATAGTTCAATAAAAATAAATCTTAATTCTATTATCCAAAAAAAAACAGACGCATTTTATGGAATTATATGACAGTGAAAGCGACATTAATCACAGACAATAAAAAAAAATATCTGTAAGGAACATGTTCAGTCGCATTTGTAAATGTCTTAATTCCTTCCTCTGCCGCGCCAATTTTTGCCGAAATCACCTCTCGGCTCCTTGTCTGTAGTTTTCTTAATAAAAAGCTTATAAGTCAAGGCGCCGTTGTTCAGGTAAGTGGCAGCGTAGGCGTGAGGCAGCACCAAACACTTGGCCTCCTTGAAAATGTCGGTGAGAGACTCGGCGTGCGACGCGACCGCGTCACTGAACGTGAACTTCCTGCGAAAGTCACTCTTGTTGTACACGTGCAGCTCGTAGCTCCACTTGGAAGCGCTCACCTTCGTGCCAATTAGCTGCACGACCATGTATATCTTGCGCTCGGCTTCTGAAACTTTCACGTGAAACAAGAAGTTGAAGACGCCGATGAGTATGAGGTAAACATTCTGGCTGTTGCTGGAAATGTTTCGAAGTTGAATCTCGGAGTTAATGTCGACCGAGCGCTGTTCAGGGTGTAAGGCGTCAAAGTGTAACGTTAGTTGTTTCAATTGCCCTCTCCAAAAGCATCCGAGGGGGCAATGTAGCTCTTTAAAGGGGCACTCTCTACAATGGATGTCCATTTCAGTCATTTTGAAAGATAGTGTGCATCCATTCTTATTGAATCGACAGGGCATTCTTTGCTCAGCAATATATCCCTCTAAAGCATAGTTCCTTGTGGTAGTGATGCTATTGCCGCAGATGCCACAACACCGGCCTTGCTCCTTGCACCTGTTGCACGAGCTGTGTCCCCGGTTGCATTGGTAGATTTGTAGACCAAACAACGTTTTACATGTGGGACACAGGAATTCATTATCATTCCCATTGTTGCGAGATCTGTAAAATCATAGTTGAGTATTGATTTTTAATTATCAAGCATAATAGATACCTCCTCTAAAACCGTAATAATTAGCGGGTGGATTTATAATTGCGTGATGCAGGATCGGTTGATATTCAAAGTGATACAAATATTAATAATTTGAAAATTCTAATAAGATACACTGAGGATGATAAAACTAGAGTATATACTCCTAATCATTCCCCTTTTTCCCACTGGGCACTCTGGGCACGTGCCCAGGACCCCTCGACCGATAGGGGTCCCATAATTCCTGCCGGATAACCAATTGATAATAGGTATAACCGATATTGATTACCGAAAAACATATTTAGTTTGAAAAATCTAGCGATAATGACTGAATAAAACTGAAAAATAATATTCTCTTTGTCTATTCTAACAAAATAGTGCTCAGTCAAGGTCGTAAGGACCCTATTATCGTAATGTGCCCAGGGTCTCCAACGGGCTAAAGACGGGGTTACTCTTAATGGGTGTTTAGAATTAGAGAAAGAAGAATATACATACCTGTTGATTGACCGATCCCTTGTTGGCGCAGATGGTCGGGTTCTGCAAGAAACATAATATGAATATTATTTATTTATTTGTCTCTTATTATATATCATTGCATATAATGTCTGCTTGATTGTAAATAAGTAAACCAGTTTCTTGTCTATTTTTTTCTTATTTTTCTGTTTGATTGTAAGCAATAATAAAGTTGGCTTGCTCTGTTTTGTAAGTAAACCACTTCCTTTTGAAGTTTCTGTTGACATAACTATATATAAAATGTAACAAGGTGAAGCCTCTGGGTTCTATAATACAGTTCTCACTAGTTAAGGATCCAGCGTATTTATACTATTTGTAACACTTTTATGTCAATAAATATTTCATTTCATAACCGTGAAGGGTGCGTCTCTGCTGGGCCTCAATTCTGGTAATTTATGTTCACGCCAAGCCACTGTCATACCACTGACACGCTACTGAGATGCCATCGAGTGGCCATTGGCATCGGTATAAATATCGGTAGTCTACACTAACTAAACAACAACAAAAACAGCAACGATAATTCTATTAATTACGGTGTTAATGTCGTTGTAGTTTATACATAGTTTAAAGTAAATACAATGTTCTAATCTCTCTGACAGTTCCAGAGTAAAGCATCAGAGCTTTGTTATGAAAGTAAAGATATACGACTCTCTTGTTGTGCTATCTTCTCTTTACTCTTAGAGCGAAGCCACACGATGCATTGACGGCGCGGTACGGCGCCGGTGCGGTGCCGCTACGTGATTCTAAATAACGATACCACGTCACGCGACGCGTTCGACACTGCTGCAGTATTGCACTGCAAGCGCACCGAGCTTAGCGGGACCGGCAGGGGAGAACCGCAGTATTGTGTGTCGAATGTGAATAATTGTGTGCTACAATTATTATTTTACATTTTTCCTGTACACTGTGATAAACAGCGGTGCACTAACGGTGCCGCACCGCCCGTGACGCCCCATATTTCCAATTCATTACGGTGGGGCGCCGGACTACACTGTCAACGCATCATGTGGCCTTGCTCTTAGGTTTGCTAGAAGAGAACTTAAATCTGGATTAGCCTTTGTGCACACTATTCCTTAATGTATTTTTTCTGTAAATGTTTATATTGTGTACGTAAGAATAAATACATAAATATGAGACTTACCTCTGAGGTCCACCGTGATTGACAAAGACGAAATCATGTGTTGGATTTGAATTGTTGTCTTCAAAACTAAATTGATTATTACGATTATTTAAATCTGGATACAAGGCAGAAGCAGGCGGAGCGGTAGCGGTCATAGCGTTTTGTAAGTCTTCCCTGACGTAGCTATATGGAGCACGTTGCCTTTCTAAACTGGGCCTGCAACAATAAAAAAGTCTTCTATACCATATAGACTAGAATAGATTAATATTTATTTCATAAAGCACAGCATACAAAAATAAAACAAAAGTTAAAAACAAAATACACAAAGAATCTAAAAATCAAGTACGGTTTGATAACGGCAACATTTTTCGATGTGTCAATTTTTCATTTCTGACAGAACTGACATGACACGTCAATGTGCCACGTATCCAACCACGCGTCTATAAAATTTTACTTATAATAACTATGTTAGTACTTATCAACCTGTGTACCATAACAAACCTTTAATATTGCTGAGGATTGTACGCCGTGCTTTAGAAAATAGGTGGACCCTCACTGATTTTCAGTGCCCACCATAATATGCAGATGCAAAATATAGATTGTCCTGAACTAATGGCAAGAATCCATTTCTCAGCCCCAAGTAGGTTGCCGCGCTCAAGTGTTTACATGCTGTTCAGGTAACGTAGATATAAGTCTAATCTAGGGCTTAACTTGCCGATAAAATTCTACAACAAAATTTCTTCTTTAGATTTGGAAAATAGTTGGCCTAATGTTAAGAAAGAATCAAAATTTGTAGGGTACCTTCCTAGGACTATGAAATGTGCCAAGTAATATCGTCCTATACTACAAGAAGTACAGGAAAACTCTAAAACTATACATTTGTAATGAAATCATTTTTTTTGTCCTCATTAAAAGTACGAAATCAGTCCATCACTTGTCAATGTACAAATTCACTTATAAAACACAATATAAGTAATTATCGGTTTTGGAAATTGAATTTCCGGAAAAGCTCGGCAAAAACTGCGAGACTTTATTCCTGAACTTCTTATGATATTTAACCTACAATTTTTTTTTATTTTCTTCATTTTTTTATATTTAGAATGGTACAAGTTTTACTTGTGTTAGTTTTAGTCGTAAATATCTATAATTAAATGAGCACGAGGCACGTATTTGTATTTTTGTACTTCTATAAGATAATAATATACCTTACACATCTCACACAGTACTCTACACTACTCACAAACTACTTCTATAAGATACGTGTATCAGTTTTTGGCGACCATAAATAAAAATATTGCAAACGAGTCAAGCCTTTGCCGCCATTTAAGTCTATCCAGGTTTATGGTTGGACCCCTGTCTCCTTCACTTATTCGGAAAAAGCAACGGAATGCTTAACACTGGTTGCCAGTAAGTTTGCCCGTCATCCAGTCGAACCGTGTCATATGTGATAGGTCTTTGCTGTCCAACGGTTAATCTTAAATATAATGTAGAAAATTAAATGTTTCCTTCATTTCTTACCCCTACAAATATCACTTAACAATATACAGTCACGCCTGAATTTTACTAAAGCCCATTACTACTAACTACTAGAACAGAGGCCAAAGTGTAAGTATAGAATCACCTATGACTTAACTTGCAGATGTCCATGAACGGTTATAGTAACTTACGATCACGTAACCTGGGCAACTGGGTTGCCCCACATATCATAAAAAATCGAATGAACCTTGTCTTTCAACACTCAAAAACCTTAAGATTCTTCTACAAATGTTTTAACACAAAATACGAGAAGTAAAATCATATATTTTTTAAACACTACAACAAAACCAGAGTTCATGCATACTCACCCTGGAATAGATGGTCCCTGGTGAGGGTTTTGTGCGAAGTGCGTAGGTTGCGGCACTTGAGGCGCGTACGCCGGTTGTGGAGCGTAGGCAGGTGGCGGGGCGTACGAAGGTTGAGGCGCGTGCGCCGCAGGGTGTACAACAGATGAAGGATTCTGATTGGCGGCTTGCGCATTTTGAGTTGTTTGAGCTTTTACTTGATCCATGACTTCCTGGCATTTTTTCTCATACATCTTTCTCTGCTCATCTAGTAGTCGGCGCATTGTCGCTTTTTGGCTAAAACAATTCAGTGAAATAATTATTTTATTTCTGTGTGGTGACGAATTACGAATACGTAGTGTCACCACCCCTATTAATCCCGTGGGTATCGTAAGAGCCGACTAAGGGAGCAATCTGTGCAGGATAATAGCACTGCAAAGAGATGGTAAACTTGAAACAAAGCCTATACCAACCCGTCTGGCCAGCGTGCTATACAGGTCAAAACCTTTTTCTGAAGAGGCCTATGTCCAGCAGTGAACAATTAAAAGCTGTTAATGATAATGATGAATTATTTTGTGAATACAAATCGCGAATAAGTGGGTATAAAGATATTAAAGGTCATTTAAAAAGATAATAGACGTTCTACCGTAGGAGTTTTACTTCGGCATATATGGTGTGGTGACGGATTAAGAACACAGTGTCACCACCCCTGTTCATCCCGTGGGTGTCGTAAGAGCCGACTAAGGGAGAAAACTACGCGACTAAGGGAGAGAACTAACTCATGACGGCCATTGGTGTGAGGATTCTCTAGCTGGGTACCATGATTGTGACCATGATACGGAGCGATTGCGCAGGAAACGACACCACCTCCTTCTGCGAGCAAGTTATTCTTGAGAAGGAGGGGGAGGAGCGGGACCTGAAGAGGGTTAGAACTCTTCCGGTCCACCAGGCCCGAGAACAGACCAGGTACTGTAGGCGGCGGAGGTCGCTGATTTCCATCCTGCATAATCCTCACCTCGCCTGTTATGTTACCCTGCGATTATGCAGGCCTGGGGGTAACAGGTGAGGCAACCTGTTACCAAAAAAGAAAGGCTGACGTCTGAATAAAAGCTTGCGCAGCGCGGTTTAGTCGGCTCGATTCCGATACATCGCCCCACCGCAAAATAAAAGTTCTAGTAAAGAAATGAAAACTAAAATTTGGAGTCATCATTATCACACATCTAGTAACGTCCACTAGTAGCCATTAATAATATAGTATGTGTGCGGGGTAGGGGAAGGGGGGCGGCAATGAGATGTTTGCCTAAAGCGCTCTTGACACTTAATCCGCCTCTGACCGGCACACTTCCACTTCAGCGTAATCAGTACGCTGACGTGCGTTGACCTCTGTGCGTTGTCTGTTACGCCAGTTCTCTGTAGAATCATTTTATTTCGAATTTTCTGGACTAGAGAAATAACACCCCCCTTTAATCCTCCCCTAAGTATAGGGAGAGAGGGTAAACAAAACATGACAATGTATTTACTTGTATCTCTTGAGTTGCAGATGTTCATGGTCACTGATAGTCACGTATCATTAGTTGCACCGACTGCGCGTTTATCCTTTATGTCATAAAAATAAAATTACGAGGAATACAACAATTTTTATTATAGCCAATGAGGAAAATATAGGCAGAAGATAATAAAATATAGAAATTACTAAGTCATTTAAAACACAGTGGTGATGCATTGTGCGCATACCCAGTGGGGATGAGATAGTTATGCTTATCTAATCGGTTTAAAAATGTCGCCATACAATTCTAAACTCGTGACGTACCTTTTTTTATTTTTGTTTTTATTGATGATGATAAGACAGTTAGGGTGCGTTTAAACTGACGCGGGGCTGAGCGAAGTGGAGCGGACAGTCTAAAGTGTTGAGTGTTCGCATTAAACTGGAGCGGGGCGGAGTGTAGTTGAGCTGAGCAGACCAAAGCTGCATTGAGCCGTGTCCCGATCAGTTAAATTCAATCTCTTGGGAAGATCATACGTCATGTAATCGATAAAGAAAAAGAGCGCCTTTACATCTTTCTCTACTTGAAGATCGAGATTCGGAAGCAGATGAAGTAGAACTGATTGCCACATATTATTTGGATACAAAAAGAAAACAGTCCAGCTACCCTCCGATTCGTGCCCTCTGCACGGCACCACAGCCTGATCGCGTCCGTTCTGTGAAGCTCGGGGCCACATGTTCTTATATTTTATTTGAAAATCCGCTCCGCTCCGCCCTTAGTCAACTCCTTTCTACTCCGTCCAGTTCCGCGTCAGTGGAAACGCACTCTTATACTTATCTCGGTTTAAAAGTATCGCCAGACAATACAAAACTTCTAACGTACTACTTGTTCAGTTGACTCATGCTTGCCAGTCGAAGTAATTACGATATGTATTTGATAACACTATCACGCTATCACCCGGTAAAAGTATATCGTGTTACAGGCAAGGAAATCCTACTCGTAAGTAATATCAATTTAACTGCACGGATGGCGTAGTGGTCACCTTGCCGCTTACTACTACGCTGAGTGCTGTGGGTCCGATCCCCACATGGGACGACACTTTGTGTGATCCACAAATTGTTGTTCTGAGTCTGGTTGTTCTTGGTGTCATATATGTTTGTAAACTCCCCTAATGCGGGAGTTGTCTTTTATGATAAAAAGGAAAAAAATCTGAGACATACTACTATACAAATTATCATTATTATCATCAACAGCCTATAATTGTCCACTGCTGGACATAAGCCTCTCCTTGGAAAGGAGGTTTTGGCCTCCTACAAATTATACCCGTATAAAACTACTCAAAGGAATATCATATTTTACATTAGTAAAACATTAAATACACACACATTAGTAAAACCGTACATTAGGTGGTGTATCAACGAATCATTTTTTTTTACAATTTGCCAATCTAAAAAAAAATTTGAATGTGTTACGTGTGATTTTCAATGCTGACTGTACCTCCTTAACAACGCGCCCATAACTATAACGAAACAAAGCCCCCTTTGTTAACAACTAACGCTAATTTAGGCTACGATAAGGCGTCAATAATATTATTGTACTGATGGTTTACTTGCATAGGTGACTTTATGTGTAAAGTTATGTGTAACTTTTTTTATAGAAGAGGGGGCAAACGATCGGACTGGTCACCTGATGGAAAGTGACTACCGGCGCCTATGTCGTCTTCTGCAACAAAGGAGTCACGGGCGCGTTGCTGTTGAGGTATAAGTACGCTCTTTTCTTGAAGGTTTGAAGGTCGTATCGGTCCGGAAATACCGCAGACGATAATTTCTTCCACAGACTACCATCAGACTTCCACAGCCCAAGTTCTTGGCGATATCGAAGTTCTGTAGAGAGACTGTTGTCGGACTTGTTAGGGCTCCAACTTCCCGTAACGCTTACCACATGTGTTCGTACCGGAACCGAAGGCGACTTTACAAACATTCATTCAACCAAACACAAAGAGCCCCCGACTCAGAACAACAATTTGAAAACTAAAGCAGTGGTACATGTAAAACATCGTAAGAATTATCTTACAAATCAACGGCTTAACGTGCTCTCCGAGAGGGGTCTCAATGTGTTAAGAATCACCCATCCATAGACTGACCTGGCTAGGATTGCTCAACTATGCAATGTGTTAACCTACAGTAAGCCACGAGCCCCTCAAGTGAAACAAATCCAAGTTCTAAATAAAAATGTTTTCACACATTTCTGCCACAAGCCTGTGTTAAATATTCTTTCACTGCTTTTCACAGTTACCGAACTCCACTGCTGGACATAGGCTTCTCCTTAGAAGAACTATACAACGCTGGCTAGACGGGTTGGTATATGGTTTGTTTCAAGTTTTCCTTCTCTTTGCAGTGCTGTTGTCCTGCAGAGTTTGCTCCCTTAGTCGGCTCTTACAAAACCCATGGGATGAATAGGGGTGGTGACCCCCGTATTCTTAAACCATCATCACACGGACGAAACATTAGCATGAGCACTACTATTGTCAATCCCTCCAAGGAAACAAAATATCTGAGTTAGGAGTGAGTACTGTTTGCACAAGCAATCACTTGATTAAAAATACTATGCAGCTTTATCTTTTTGAATTTAACATTACTGGCATCTTAATACAAGTTTTAAACATTAAATTAGAACCAGTATTTTTATTTCATGAGTTAAAGAAATGGAAATGTTACCATGAACTATTTGGCAAAATACAAAATCATCATCATCATCAACAGCCTTTAACAGTCAACTGCTGGACATAGGCCTCTCCTTAGAAAGGAGTAGGTTTGGTATAGGGTTTGTGTCAAGTTTTCCTTCTCTTTGCAGTTTTGTTGTTCTGCATAGTTTGACACCTACAGGATGAGTGGGAGTGGTGACAATCCGTATTCTTAATCCGTCACCACACGGGCAGTTATTGTAAGTTTATCACAAAACAATTATAACTTCTCTTGTCAGTGAAAGACTGTCTTTGAGCACCAAGAGAATTCTAGTTAAAGTATGTTTAAATTGGTAAGAAATTCATCCTATATTTGTTATCCTATGTTCCTTATTTTTGTTTTGCTTAAAATTAACATGTTTTCTTGATATCAATAAGAAAATATATACCTAATAAAAAAATTGTTTAGACATTTTTTATGTAAACACAAAAAGATATTTTGGCCTCCTATTTTAAAAGAAGATAACGTTATGGTAAAAAAATGAAAAAAAAATGATGAGGGTTAGTTACACTGGTCAACAAAATATATTAAAAAACAAGCTGATAGAACTATGGTTGAATGTCGACTAACAGGTGAATTCCAATTTCCATAAAAATATTATTACTGACCTATATAAAGTTAAGGTAGACGAAAAACAATAAAACTTAATTTATCAATGGTTGAGGAACTAACTTTAAATAAACAATAAAAATTAGCACATGAAAAATTTCTTAGATAACACGTCTAGATAACAATTCAATGCTTATGTACACGTAAATCGATTTTGGGTTATATACCTACTGAGCAACGTAAAATAACAATTGCGTTTCACAAAAGTGCATCAATAACTTTTTTTAAGTTACACAAAGAGGTTAGCAACCAAAAAAACTTACGCCTCCTGCTGCGATTTGGTGGATTGTTCGTTTCCCATTGTTATTTAGTTTAAGGTTTAAACTAACTGCAATTCGAACTTTATTGAACTTCTTAATTGAAAGAATAACTGACAATACGACAATACGACACGCTCACGGATTCTTAGAGTAACAACGCTGCACGAGACTGAAATAGATATTTTTGTTACTGCAGTTTTTATACGGTGTGAGAAAATTAAAAAGAAGCTATACCATAGACAAATAACACTTCAGGGAAGTCCCCCTTAATAAGCGTTTACGAATATGAACAGAGCAGAGACACATTCTTTTAGTCTTCAATGACTATAGCCTCTGGTTTATGGTGTCTTATCTATGACTGTAGCATCGTCTACAGGTTGCAACAGCGGTTTTCAATAGTAATAAAATCACAATCACATGTTATAAATTCTACGATTTATAAATCATATTATCACACCTGTGACTGCTTTATATAACCACTGCGACTTAATTATTATTATTAAGCTAGCGCAAGACTCGCGAAAGGTCTAAAATCTAAAAAAAAAGGAAGTGCGTAAATTCGATAAAAAAAATTGATTGATTTTAATAATCAATTTATATTTGTCTATGACCACAGAACAGTGAATAAACATTAGAAATGCGATCAACGGTAAATTAAAAGAATTCCGTGGTCGACGGGACGCATACATAAACGTGTGCGTTACCCCAGCAAAATAATGTCGAAAATTGTCATTTAAACGTTATAGATAATTAGTTGCTCCCCTTCTGTAATTGTTAGGCACATTTTTCAATTTGTTTCACTTAAACTTTATAAGTTATTTCAAAAAAACATTTCCTGCTGGGGTAACGTTTGAAACGTTACCGCAGCCAGACATTTTCTTTTTTAATTGTAATATTGAAATAAATTTTAGCTAAATAATTAGTTATCCAGACTAGGTAAATGTTACAACTTATTTGGTATTTGTATTTTCTTCGGCTGCGAAGTTATTCGAGATCCTGCTGGAGTAACGTTTGTGGGTTTGCTGGATCTCTGAAACGGGTAAGCGGATTGTAACCATCTTTTGTACATAACTTCTTAAGGATTAGTTTTAATTTGTTCGACAATAAAATAACAAAAATAATGGACCGTTTAAAAATTATTTAGGTAAGTATGAAAACACTTCAATACGGCCTAACACTTTAAATAAGACCTCTAAAGACTTACTTCAAACGTTATTCTATTGCTTGTAACTACCTTCAAATGTATACGAATTTTCGTAAGAATACTGTAAGTGACTAAAAAGTTATGATGAAATGTAGCTCTCCACGTTCACGATCACAATGTGTGCGGCCTTTTTTGGCCACCGATAAACCTGTGTGTGGATATATAAACTGAATGTTATGCCAATAATTAGTTGTTTAGTTCAGTTGTCTACCTGTAGAATTTCAGCGTCGTACATATAATAATTTACGAGATAATTAAATAAAAGTCATTAGAAGGTGCAAGTCCGTGGTAATCCGACCATGTTTAGGTGGTTACAAAAAAGCGATCACCCAGTACATTGCGCTGTCTTTTAAAATGTTTAGTGTAATACACCTTACGATTTCGGTACAGTTGCGTGCAGTGTTAAATACATTCAATATTTATTCATTATTATTACCTATTATTTATTTTGTTTTTTTTTTCCTAATTGATCTTAAGCACTAGTTTCTTTACTTAGAATTTCTTTAGTCTTTTTAACTACCGGAGCTACAATCAACAGAAAATCTGCACTGGTCCGCTAAAATTATAAATATGTAGATACATGTATGAACGATTCACCTGACTGCAATAAATCGAAAATTTAAACCAATAAGAAATCGTTTCATTTCTTTGATTTTTTTTTTGTAAAGAAATAACACTAAAGTAATTGTATTTTATTTTGGGGTGTATAGAGCTTAGACTTGAATGCATCAAAATATTTAAAGCAACAAGTCATCTACAATAAGTTAAAATAGACCGAATAGTAGAAGAATATAGTTGTAAATTAGAATGCATCAACATTGCATCGCCCAACAGTCGTATACCTCGTAAGAGTAGGTAATATTGTTCTGTGGTCTATACCGAGAACCGAGAATTATCTATACCTATGTACCTACCGTTAAGCGTTGAGCCCGTGACTGTTGATTTCTGTTAAAAACGAACAGTTGTTGAATGATATTTTGATATAATAACGGTAATTTAATTTATCGAGTGAAAGTGATACATTTTTATAGATGAAATTATTGGTCAGATAATATTTGTCAATCGAAAATCGCCGATAATACGTCCTTCGCTAGAACGCGGGAGGGGAGGGGCGAAGGGATACTTCATTGTTTGCAATTTGCATCTAGTTCACTAAACTTGACCCTTAGGCAGATAATATACGTCTTGTAAAGTGCGTGTGCGCTTCCGCTTTCTATTTTTGCAAAAATATATCGTATTCTTGAGAGTTCTTCAATATGTGTGTACCTAATTACTAATAATGGGCATTAATGCTAATTCGATTCAATTTAAGTAGGTAATTGTCAATTTTTGTCTTAGGATATTAATTACTAATGCTTATTTTGAAATTTCGTTCGGGGTGAACAAATTAAAAACGATCGTAACTTGTAGGTAGGTATATCACTTATTATTAATTTTACATAAATAATTTATTTTATTATAATTTAACTCACCGCGATTTTGTGATCAAATATTTTATTTTCTCCAACATTTTTACAGAAATAATGCAATACAGAGTTTGTTCGCGATATGCTAGCCTAAGTCGATTCATCACTTTAAAAAATCCCCATCTATTCACAAAATACCTATTTACAACGCATACGTTATACTCTTCAAAACTTAAATTACCTATAGGTACCTACCCTAAAATTAAACTTCAATTAACAAATACTACACAGGTACCAATTCTATGAACAACTACATATACACATGTATAAACAATTCACCTTAAAATTACGAGAAAACAAAAGCATTCAAAACAATACCTAATCTCCCGGCTGATTACTAATTATGCAATACACAATCCTAAATAAAAATTATTTAAAAACATGTAGTTTTTTGTAACTCTTATGTACATATCCGTAGTAAACTTGCAAATAATATCCTACATATTTTAAAAGCCAGCACAATGTACTGGGTGATCGCTTTTTTGTAACCACCTAAACATGGTTGGGTTACCACGGTCTTGCACCTTCTAATGACTTTTATTTAATTATCTCGTAAATTATTATATGTACGACGCTGAAATTCTACAGTTAGACAACTGAACTAAACAACTAATTATTGGCATAACATTCAGTTTATATATCCACACACAGGTTTATCGGTGGCCAAAAAAGGCCGCACACATTGTGATCGTGAACGTTGAGAGCTACATTTCATCATAACTTTTTAGTCACTTACATTATTCTTACGAAAATTCGTATACATTTGAAGGTAGTTACAAGCAATAGAATAACGTTTGAAGTAAGTCTTTAGAGGTCCTATTTAAAGTGTTAGGACGTATTGAAGTGTTTTCATACTTACCTAAATAATTTTTAAACGGTCCATTATTTTTGTTATTTTATTGTTGAACGAATTAAAACTAATCCTTAAGAAGTTATGTACAAAAGATGGTTACAATCCGCTTACCCGTTTCAGAGATCCAGCAAACCCACAAACGTTACTCCAGCAGGATCTCGAATAACTTCGCAGCCGAAGAAAATACAAATACCAAATAAGTTGTAACATTTACCTAGTCTGGATAACTAATTATTTAGCTAAAATTTATTTCAATATTACAATTAAAAAAGAAAATGTCTGGCTGCGGTAACGTTTCAAACGTTACCCCAGCAGGAAATGTTTTTTTGAAATAACTTATAAAGTTTAAGTGAAACAAATTTAAAAATGTGCGTAACAATTACAGAAGGGGAGCAACTAATTATCTATAACGTTTAAATGACCATTTTCGACATTATTTTGCTGGGGTAACGCACACTACATAAACGATAAATAACATTTTACACACATAAAAAGTTTACGCTAATTCGTCCCACGGGATATATTGATTGTAAATCCTAACGGCCACTTATATATAAATATTTAAAAACTTCACAATTGTGTAGCTTTTCAAGCGACCCGCGTTGTTCTAGAAGGCGGTTCTGTAAGACACCGTAGTGACGTAGTACTTTTGCCATTTATCGAAAAAAACACGAAAAAGTAAATTATTTATTTGACTGATGATGATGATGTAGCACATTACTATTCTTGAACATTTTATTGTAGAATAATATTTCTATTGTATATAAAATATGTTGTATATTCAATAACTTTAAAATAAAATTAAATAATGTGATTTAAATATAATGTATTTAAAATATTTATTAACCCTGAAATAAAATGTATTTATTGTATAATTTCTGTATTGTGTCTTTTTGTACATTGTAAATTTTCAATTTAAAATGCATTTGAATATTAATGTATTTTTCAATAACGCATTTTATTAAGTCGGATAAATTATTTGATGATGGGTATTCACTTATTTAATGAAAGCTTATTTTATTAAATATGTTGCTACCCATTAACCGGCGTAAGACTTGCAGACAATCCGAGTTTCATTTACGCATCTTAGCTGGTCAGTTAGTCATTTCATTTTTCGTTAAAACTAATGCTATAATAAAAAATGTCAGTCAAAAAGGTAGTAAAAGAACATTATTAAAAGTAGAAATTGGGTAGACATCCAATTATATTTTTCCTATGTAAAAATGAAACAGTTGTAGCACAACTATTGTTTATGGTTAGGAAATGCCATTGTGTTAGATCTGTACCTAGTGCTGTGCCAGCTATTAATTTGATCGTTGACAACTATTTGAGAATGTTTAAAATCATTTTTAAAATAGTTTCTGAATGTTTATGTTTAAATTATTGCTAAGAAGAACATACATACATTAACATTGTAACTTTTTATCTTTGTTGTAATTTTCAGTTAGTTAATCTGCCTTGAACTCTGAGTATGGAGACTTGATTAATGTTATGTCTCTCCATAAATCAGAGGTGAGC